TGTTTTCGAAAAAGACACCATTAAACCATTTTTGTGTTTTGCACTTGGGCGATACTCTTGGCTTTCTCTGCTTATCTGCTAACCAGTGTCGAACAGCAGGTCTGGCATCATAACTTGCAAGCGGCGGAAGATTGCATCCAATGAAAATGTAGTTATGAAGGGTATCTGCGTTCAGTCTGCCTCTCTCTGGTGTCTTCAGGATATTGTATCTTGATATCAGTCTCTCCACATCAGCTGAGTGTGGTTTTGCAGCAATTAATCTAGCCAAGGCAATGGCTAAAGGCTTCATTTCTTCCATAGCAACAATTTGCTTCAAGGTACTTCTAGGACCTTTATCCTGAATTGATGAGATTGTCGCTGCTTCTCGGTAGCTTTGACAAAACCCAAATAGATCACAGTCAGGGACAATGACCTTGTGACACGCTCTAAGTTCATCATCGCTGACATCAATCTTTAGCTTGGCCAGAGGCGTTAGATCTTTCCACTCATCAGTTTGAAGCCGTTCTGAAAGAAAATTCTCTAAAGACAAAAGAATCTCGTTTCTGACAGCTTCGATTGTCTTTGCGTCAGTGACATACAAATGGTGCTGCCTTCGCCTTCTGACTCGTGCTTTCAGCTTTATCCCGTGAAATTCCCACTCATTTTCCAATTCGTCACTTTCATGTGGAATTTCTTTAATTGTAGAAAGAAACAACTCTTCCCAGCCACCTACAACAGGCTTTTCTTTAGCTGTGGCTAGCCTTGCAAGAAACTTATCTCTTTCTTCAACAATATCAAAAACCAAAACGCTGTCACTTTGAAGCTTCATTTGGAACCTTGAGAACAACGCGACAACATCCATCAGAAAGCAGCCCAGATGCAGTCTATCTTTGTTCAACCAGGTATTTAAAAACCCCTTTGCATCTGCATCTGGACTTGTCTTCAGATACATTAAAAGAGCCCTAATGCTGGCAAGAATTGAACGCAGAAGTTGGCTTGTGTACTGAGACCAACGTACTTCGAAATATTGAGGAAGCCTAAGAACCTTGAGATTGTTTTCAGTTGCCACTTTATGAAGTTCCCGTGTTCGGACACCGGAGGAATGAAAATATGTCGCAAGTGCTGCAGCATCCCTAATCAGGTTGGTAACCTCAGCAACCGAAGAACAAACAGACTTCCACGCAAGAGCACTGCGATGCACTGCACACCAGATTTTAAGCAGTGGTACATCATTTCCATTTTCCTGAAGATGACGCATCTGACTGAGCTTTGTCCATATCCCCGATCGTGCTCCTGAATTAAGATTTGTTCCATCGGAAGCTAGCGATGAAACGTTTGGAAACAAAGAATCCCATTTAACAGACTTTTCAACAGCATTCTGAATAGCCTTTAGTGCTCCTTCTGCGCCCCTTTCTTCTGGTTCTTCAAACCCAAGGAAATAGAGATTTTCTTCCCCTTTTTTATTTATAGTTTTAGCCAACACATGTTCGTTGTCTATTTGATTTCTGTCAACAGAACCATCAAATCGTAAAGACAATGCCAAGGAATTCTGAAGTACATCTTTCAGTTTTTCTTTTTCTGATGATACAATTGCGTTTAAAAATCCATTATGACCGATGGGGTTAACATAACGATGGTCAATCGGTTCATAGTTAGTAAACTCCGAGTTAATATCGAATTTAGAACCAATGTTTCTAGCTACAACTCTTGAAGGCCATGAAAATGCGCTTAGTGTCCCACGTTTTGCATCATTGTACACAGTATAAATACAATTCCCAACATAATTTGCGAGTTCTTTATTAGCGCAAATAAACTGGGAATCAATTGGCGCACTTGCTTGCAACTCATTGCTGCTTAGTCTTGCTAATTTGTCAGCTTTAACGCATTCTTTATGCACCACAGATTTAAGATGGTTATCAATGTTCGTTTTTCTAGGAATAATTCCATTTTCAGAACAAATTTTAGGCACTTTGCCATTTGGTGCAAATATTTTCACCATGTTTGGGAATCGGAAACAAATGTCACACCTCACGTGCTTTCTACCAGTACCATGACCATGGAATGCGATTTTTTTTATTGGATTTGAGTCGCTTTTCTTACTAGCTTCACACTTGTCAGTTTTATCTAGAGAGTTTGGATTATCAGAAGAGCAAGTTGAATTAGATGCGTCTGCTTCATCATGTGCATTACACTCATCCTCAGAATTATCATCGGTTTCGGACGCCTGTGACTCTTGTTCATCTGAAGAATCATTAGAAGATAACTTAGAATATTTTGCAGTTCGGCAATCGTGCTCTTCTTGACTATCTTCAGTTCTTTTCTTTCGAATAAGAAATTTTTCCATTGCCAGGCCCTGCAATATACAAAGACAATTGAGTGAGTTTGTCTGTTTTACTCCGAAATTGCTAAACTTTATAAATAAACTTTCATGTTTTATAAATGCGATAAATCACTTGTATAATTCACTGCAAACAAACAAAATCAGTCCTGTGGCTGTGTAAAGATCGTGACACGCGGGGAATCTAGTACGAAGGTATTTTGGGTTACATATTAATAGCATGCACTAAACCGAAATTTAATAATTATGTAGCTAGCGACGAACTCGTGACCGTGAACGTTCCATGCGTATATACGGGGATATGGCGACACACTGACACAGTCTTAACTGTAATTAATACACCTGAGAAATACATAATAATTCTCTTTCCTCACTCACTGATTCACTTTTAACTTTTAATGTGCATTGCAACTTTATTAGATTTAAATAACAAAAGCACATACCTCTCAATCTCCATGGAGTTCAATTGTCCAAAAATATTCGCAATGTGAAATCATAGTGTGTTTGAAATACACAACCGCTGAAACTACAAAGCAGGCTCGTTGCTATGCCGGAAGTCAGCACTCGGGCTCAGCAACTTCCGGGAATATGTTCAGGGGCTGTCAGGCGGAAACGCGTGTCGGCCTCTAGATCATATAATTTTAAATCCCCAACTATCCAAGCGTTTTTATATACTTTATAATAGAAACAATAATTATTTTAAACAGTCAAATTAAAATTATATTAAACATTTTTGTCCATGAGGCATGATTTTTAACTACACACTTTTCCATTTACAAGGACACATTCGCCTTTTACAAGGACACAAAGTGTGTCAAAAACACGCGTATTATAATGCCTGGAATAAGGATCCACCAAATAATCGAGAATGAAAGCACGAGAGGTGTCATGAGAGGGAAGCAGGTGTTGCAGTATGAACTGCAACAAAGGTTTTCTTGCATCGGAAAGGCTGGCATTCATACAAACACTTGGCATTCAAAGATGTACATCAGTATACCCAAACATACATGCATTACTTACAAATACATATAGAAAATAAAACAATATTGCCAAAAAATTTACTATGTGCAGTACTGTAGCGAAGTGACAACAGCATCATGATCAGAGTAATAAACACTTACAACAGAATTGTTCAGTATTCTTAAAGAATTTGGTCTTACATACACATGATCTAGTAAGCTACCAGAAGAAACGAATGTGGGTTCGGTAACAACTTGAGTATAGTTTAGGGATTCCATTAATGTCGCTAGCGGTTGAGATTGAGTTTGATTAAAGTAGTTAATATTAAAGTCACCAAGGACCATGTCAATTCTGGAACTATTAAGGATATATTCTAATGCTTCCAAATGACGCGAGATATTGGAGGTGTTTTTTCTATATAATAAAAGGAAGGAACGCGACTCTTGTAGTTTAGTGTCAACCAGATTGAACTTAAATGCATTAAGTGAATGAATGTATTCATAATCTTGTATTTCCAAACTACTTTTTATACAGATTGCCATGCTAGAGTATTTGTCTGCATGATCTTGACGATAAATTCTAAAAGGTTTTAAAGTGTTTGTAATTTCTATGTCAGAGTCATTAGGTAAAAGCTGTGTCTCAGTTAGTGCCAGTACATCAGAATTGAACAACTGAGAATGTGACCTGATATCTTTACTGTGCTTTCTCAGAGATCTGATGTTCAACAGTGATATTGTCAGAACTGAATTATTGCAGCAATCTTTTTCTATTGGTGCGTTTAAACATGAACTGGAGTTTCGAAGTCTTTCGTATTCTTCATGTACTTTGGGATTTGCCTTGATATGTTTACTTTGTATTTCTCCGAGTATGTGTAAACCTTGTAAGGATGTTGCACGGCTTAACGCTACATAAATTTGTCCATAGTTGAAAGATCTTTGCTTCTTTAAGTCCAAACTGACAACAACATTTTCAAGAGTAAGTCCCTGCACTTTATGGACAGTACAAGCCCAAGAGAGTGCTATGGGAAATTGTATTCTCTGAATTTCAGGTGAAGATGCTTTACCTGGTCTAACTTTAATCTTTGCAAGAACAGGCTGAATTGGTACAACGTGATTTTCTCTAGCAAAAGGATTGGTACTTGTATTTATTGTTGTTTTTCCAGCTTTCTCGTCATCAAATTTTACATATACAACCGTTGGTACATTATTAATGTTAGCATCAATTTTTACTACAGTTCCCATTTGCCCATTGATAAGTCGATCTTGTATATTGATATTTGTAGTAAGCATTATTCTGGCGCCTTCCTTAATTTGAATTTCGGCATCAAGACCACATGTTTCAGATCGTCCTCTTGATAAAACTTTATCAATATCTTGTTTACTAACATTTGGTGGATACTGATCTTTTGCTTTAAGTACATATAGCGGTGTTTGAATGGCTTCCAGTTTCATTTGGTTGTGTTCATTAACAGGAGAATTTTCAGCCCAAATATGAAGTGCATCTGATGGATAGTTGGGATCAGATGGCGAAACTCTTCTTGGTTGAATAACTTTAATATCATCCTCAGTATGAGAAGCTGTTCTTACTCTATTGAGAAGCTCAGTAAATGCCTTATCGTTTTTTTGCCTCATGATTTCTGTAAGTTCGACCATTTTAAAAACCCTCCATGGATGACAGAGATTGTGTGCTTCAATTTTGTAATCATCAAAAACTGGTCTCTTTTTTATTGGAGGTAACTGATACAGATCACCTACAGATATAATACTAATTTGTGCAAATAACTTGGTAGATGAGCAACCAAAGATTTCCTTTAATCGTTGGTGAGTGTGTAACAAAGTTGTGTTTCCAACCATAGAAATTTCGTCTATAATTATAAGTTTTACGTCTTTTAAAGAGAGTCTATACTGTGTTTTTCTCTGGTCAGACATTGCCGAAAGGTTATCACCTGTTTCTTTAGGAATAGCAAGTCCTGTATTTAAGGTTGTTCCATCAATATTTATAGCTGCAACACCTGTAGGTGCCATTAATAGAACCGTTGGTAATTCAGGGTTAAACGGAGGATGTCTAAACGTTTTAACTGCCGTATGGTATATTGTTTTGATCAAGTGACTTTTGCCAGCGCCACCACCTCCAGTAAGGAAGAGGTATATAGGTTTTATTTCAACAGGTTTTAAACTGTTCATGTTTTTTATTAGTTTTCTGCACCAAGACAGAACTATATCATATGCACACCTTTGTTCTGCATTCAAGGATCTAACTGATTGGCGCAGTTGATCATCGGAAATTTCTGATGGTTGATTGTGGTAAGTAATTGTAGCAGAAGACTGATTTGATTGTGTAAGGTGAAGATGATCAGGTCGTTGTTCATTCAATGACTCGTTAGGATTTGTATCATTTGGTAGTTCGTCTTGGAGATCTGAATTTTCCTGATCATTTATGGTATCATAGGAATGGATTGTTTTGTCAGGATTATTTCTCATTGCTTCTAGTGCATCAGTTATAGCATCAGCATCAGGTTCAAACAAAACTTTTTTTTTTCCACAATAGCTTGAACGTCAGGTTCATAAAATTTGGATGTATATGTTTGATCGGAACTTAGGAGCTCTGTTTCGCTTCTCCAAGGAAAATACAGCATAAGCAAATGATGGAAATATAACTCTGGTTCTTTTCTTTTATTTGGTGTATGATATCTTATAATAGCTTGAACCTTCCTACACCTCATAGTTTCATTTCTGTTCATTAATTTAATTTTGGGTGGAAGAGATTGTTCTGTATCTTCCTTCGAGTGATGTGATTCAAGCAAGTCATCATTTAAAACATCAGGTTGAGAATCCTTCGTTTCAACATTCTCTGTCCTATAATCCTTATAATAGAATGCAGCAAATTGTGCTAAACATAATCTATCAACAACAGGAATTCCTTTTGGTCTTAGGCTATAACGCTCAATTATGTTGGATTTGTAAATATCTGTGCTCTCGTCATCAAGTTCATCAAGCTCACTTGGAGTTTTAGTCATTCGGACTCTTTTCTCTGGTAAATCTGTACCGACAAAAACAGTCTTTGGGAATATTTTTCTCAACCACAGTTCAGGCATACATCTATATACACATTCTTGTGAACTAACCTCTCTTGTAGAAAGAAAAGCAGCACCAATTTTTTTTAAACCGTCTCTGATGTTCATGTTAGATGATTTAGCTTCCTTTGCAGCGTTAAGTATAGCCTGAGAACATTCAGTTTCATCCTTTGTAAAATATGAGCATACATATGTTATGCATTTGTAATGATTAAAAACTGGTTGTAGGTCGACATTTGCCGCAAATCCCTTAATCCCAGCGACAAAATAATTGTTAATAAAACAACTATCTACTGGTCGTTTAAGATGTAAGTCGAAATCAGAATCTGGTGAAATCGAGAGAGCCCAATAATATTCACCTTCAGCTATACCAATTGAATCTAATATATCTTTTTCGGTAGCAGTTGCAATATAGTTTTCTTTTGACGATGGATTCAAGACTTCATCAATTTTGTTTTTGACTAATGTTAGGATTTCTTTTCGTCTATTAAGTATAGTGCACTTGGCTTCCTCATCCATATTCTCATCAAGAGGCTCAGCTATAATTGTTCGTTTGGTGAAGAACTGTCCAAAATTAAAACGACAATGAACGTTTTTGTACTTTCTGCAGGTTTTTGAATGGTTATGTTTTTGATACGTTTTGACTAACTCGTGCAACTCTAGTTCATCTTGTTTATTAGGAAGGTTAGCTTGCACATGTTCATCAATAAATGCTACATAGGCATCCTTGCTCTCAGAAGTAAGTTTTGGACAATCAGAAGTCCATACTAATGCATGTAAGTGGGGAGATCCTCTCATTTGAAACTCAATTCGAAGAGCATAGTAAGTTATTTTGCCTATTGGGTTACAATGACTAAGAAGGACTTCACTAAAAAATGTTTCTACTCGGTGTTGAAAGTGTTTTGCAACAACAACAGGATTAGCATTTAACATTTCACACCTTTCCACATACGATAAAGCCTCAACTTCTTCTTCAGTTATATCTTTTCCTTGTGTTCTAGCAACTATTTGAAACAACTCAGGCCATCTCAGGTCAGCACATGATAACGTCATAAACCATGTTGGGATACCAAGTTGTTTTACCATTGCGACTACTTCATACATAAACTTTTGCCAGTAGGGTGGTGTACCAGGAATTTGCCTCAAAAATAAGTATGCTTGATCTTGACAAACTAGGCTTTTCAATTTGTTAACATCTGACTTTATCTGGGATGCAGTCACAGGCTGGCCTTGGATCTTTTTTAAAGCAATGTTAATGCTATCAGCGACTTTCTTTTGTTCAGTTACAAATTGTGCAAAGAATAGATATTCTGAATTTGTAGCAAATCTCCCACTGTAATGCAGAAGACGCGCATTGAAGTACTTCACAGGAGATAATTTAATCTTTCTCTCTTCCATATACCCAAAGCGTCCTTTTGGAAATAATACCGGGAATGCAAGTTGTTCTGATTTCTTGTCGGTCATTATTGATACAGGGTGTCTATTTTCTCCAGGAGCAATATCATATATTTCATTACCCAGTGAACCACTTTGTTGTATAGTAACAGGATAGTCTGGTAGTACTGACTGTAAACATGATTCATTTGTTGCTCGTCGATATTTATTTAGTGGATCATCATTTTCTTCCATATTGTCAGTTTCATTTGGTTGTAATATTACAGAAGACGTATCTGCTGATTCTGACGTTTCTGCTAAAGTATCATCTTGTTCTAAGTTTTGAAGATTTGCACTGATATTATTCATATCAGTTCTAATATTGTAATACAATGGGTTATTTTGTTTTAGCCAATTCAATGCATTTAGAACTTGTTGGGGACGAACTGCTTGAAAATATACATGACCTCTAAATTCAAGTTTGCGTTTAAGCTTGAGCATTATTATACCAGACATTTCAGGTGGTCGTGGTAAAACATTACATGTCTGATCACAGTCAACTGGTACATTACAAATTGCTCCCGAAACTTTTTTCTGTTGCCCTTTTGGCATTACAATTATCTTTTCAAACACAATTCTTTGCGCAATTAGAATTTGTTCCAGTTTTTCTAGAAGTGCAAGTTCTACTGGAATTTCATCAACAAACATATCATTGTAAACTGCCTGACAGGGAATTCGTCCCTTAATTATCTTTGAGTGACAAGTTATGCAAATATATTCTTTGCCGTCAAACGAAGTTACGATGGTGAATACAGAGTTTGGAACAGAATCGTATTTTTTCCTTTCTAACAATTTAACTGACTTTCTATACAACAGACGGTTACAAACTGAACACACATAATAAGGACCTTCCTTTATTCTCGTATGAAACATAGATATATAATAGTGCAAATCATGTTGTTTCTTTGCATTTTGAGGTGAATTCGTTTGATGATACCTACGTTTCGCGTTTGTTCTACATTTCTCACGATAAGCTTCTTTTTCAGTTGCACCCATTGATTGATAATTCATTGCTCGTTTTTCAAGTAAAATCTTTTTGTCCAAAGGATCCATAGACTTGTATCTATGTACATCATTCTCACAAAGAGACTGCTTTTTTACAGGGTTCATTTCCTTGTACTTAAGTTTTAGATTTTCAAGAAGTCCTTGCTTTTCGACAGGGTCCATTTCCTTGTATTTACGTGTCTTAGTCTCATTTAGTGCTTGCTTTTTTTGTGGGTCCATTTCCTTGTATTTACGCGTCTTAGTTTCATTTAGTGCTTGCTTTTCAATAGGGTCCATTTCCTTGTATTTACGTGTCTTAGTTTCATTTAGTGCTTGTTTTTTTATAGGGTCCATTTCCTTGTATTTACGTGTCTTAGTTTCATTTAGTGCTTGTTTTTTTATAGGGTCCATTTCCTTGTATTTAAGTTCTAAACTATCTAGAAGAGCTTTCTTTTGACAGGGCTCATAGAGCTATAATTCTTTTCTTTTTTCACGTACTTTTTCCTTTTGTTTATTGGAAATATGTTTTCGTAGCACTCTTTGCTTTTCTGACTTTGTTAGTGGTTGTGGACTTGACAAAAATTGAAGAATATATTCAGTTTTCTGAAGGTCAGGTTCTTTGAGATTAAGATATTCGCATAACCCTTCAACAACACAACGGGAGTCGGAAAGTTCTTTCGAAAGATTTAGTTGAGGAATTTCATTTGGAACAAGTAAAACATACTTTGTCATCTGTCTGTGCTTCTTAACATGCATTTTTTTCTGAATTATACAAGCTAAATAATCGTCTCCCAAACAAATTAAAAATCCTATATTGCTATTGGTGTTTGCCAAGATTACTTTTTCCAAAGCTATCTTGCTGGATACAGAAGCATAACACAACGTTCCTTCAGGTCTAGCTGTATAAGTTATGTCAATTGTTGAACCACATATTTGTATGCTTTCAGGAAAATGAGTTGACGACAACAGATTTTCATTAAGGGCTACTTGGAACGATTCTATAGCATGTTCAACAATGGCGTTTCGCGTTTCATCATTCCAATAATTACGGGTCTTCACAGTAGAGAAACAAATAGCGTAAAGGAGGATATATTGACTTTGCATTTTTTTCAAATCACAGTTATCATTCATTGTGTCATCCAGAACTGTTAGTTTTGATGTTGAGCAACATAAATTTGTGTTAGTGTTTGGACTAACATCATTAGTATTCACAATTTGTGAAAAGTCATCGATTGTATCATTTACAATTTTCACACCTTTTATTTCAAATAAAGCACCTGGCCTGTAAATAACTTTCAAATACTCTGTCAAATTTCTAATGGAGTCAAATTCTAATAGGACGCATGTCCCGTGTGGATGAGGCATACCAAAAGAATCTCTAGCATGGGAATCGAATACCTTTAGTAAAGCATTGGGATCAATAAAGATAGATACAGTGTTGTACTCGATAGTTAAAAGAAATGAACTGAATGTTTCTCGCTGTAATTGTTCTAAAGCAGAATCTAGAGGCATGACAAATGGGACACTTTCAGCCATGATAGGTGAATGAAGGTTACCAGAATAACTTTGACTCAACTCAAGTGAGTGATCAGTATCTTCAACAGTTACCATTGTAGGCAGTTCTTCAAGTAGTAAGTACGTTTGTCTTGATAATCTTGACAGTGAAGAATATAACTGATCACCGAGATTCATAATGTTAACTAAGTCTGTCGAATCACATATTGAATTGTTGCGATTCAAGTATATCAGAGAGCATAAACTCATAGCTACACACTGACGGCCAGCATTTTGACCAAATATTTCAACATTACCTTGACTATAAGGAGCATATATAGTTCTTTCAGGGTTATTAAAATTAGGACCAGGGTTTACTTCAATGTCGCCACAAAGGGTGAGCTTGCAAAAATTCACTCGGTAACTGTGGTTCAAATCCTTATGTATACCGGTAATAGGCTTTTGTGTTTTACCAAAATTGAATATGTTGTAATTTTGCTGTCTATTTTTCTTAACTTTTTTGTAGTGCCTTGGTCGAGGTTTTGTTATTTCTGAATTCTTACAATGTATTAGTCTTGTTTTAATGTATTGATAGAAACAATTGTTACTTGAAACTCTCTGACGTTCATGACTGAATGCTTTTGACTTGTGTAGCAATGAATATGGGATGATGCAGGTATAGTTCTCTTTATTACTTTTCGAACAGCTTTCCTCAACTTTCTACTCTTTGTGAATAGGCGGCAGAGTCTCTTAACTGGAATTCTGCTTGGTTCTCGTTCACGACGACCTACCCTTTTAGCTTTTTTATCAGAAATAAATTTCACATAACGAGATCTAAAACAATGTAATTGAATCGGTGTAACACTATTGGTACAGGTTTGAAAACTGTTAGTATCATGTACACTTTTGCTTTTTTTACTGTTGGATGTCGTACTGTTGTCATTCATACTTTTGGGATTTTTTGTTATACATTTTGTATTCATTAATATGAAATTATTCATTGATGCATCTTTATTCATTGGTGTAACTTTATTTAATGATGTAACTTCATTCAGTTGCTTAACATTGTTTACTGATGTAACTTCATTAATTAATATAACTTTATTCATTATAACTTCATTGTTGGCATTCAAAGGTAAGTTGGCATTCAAAGTTAAGTTGGCATTCAAATGTGACTTGGTATTCAAATGTGCATTCATGGAATTCACACTCAAGGGCACCAAAACCTGGAAATGAGAACAAAAATAGGGTGTTATATGTTTGGCAAATCAAATTCAATATTATCGCTCGCTACTCTGGTTTATATAAATGATTACAAAACCTGGTCAAATTGTAATCAGGACCTAATGTTTCGACAGTCCAGTCTACTGTCTTCATCAGGGGTGATCTAAAGCTGGAATCAAAGCTTCTTAGATACCCAAGGGATGATGTCACCTGCCAATAAGATGCATATTTCTCTGGCAAATGGGTACTGTCGTCCCTATTCAGAGCATGATTACTCATATTTATATGCCACGCTTCTGGGCAAAGTCTTCCACCATGTATCGATTTTTTATAGTGGTAATTTAATACTTTAGAGTTTTCCCATGCAATCTTGTGTTACCTGGGCAGTTTTTGCAGTGTAATCATCAAGATAGTAAAGAAATTTAATATTTGTGATAAAAGAATGTCATGGTGTAATCTGAAATACGACAGAGCTTGGCAACTTAAAAATTCTAAAATTACTTTGGTTCGGGATAAAACAGGCTTTAAAATAGACTCTAGTAAATAGAAATATCGAATTCTTAAACATGCAGGATCGCTAAATTTGTAGTATGTATAATATTTTCTGAGAGCAAACAGTACTTTGAATATAGTTTGTAACTTTGTATTAAAACACTACGTCAACGTGAATCACTAAATCAACTATAAAACAGAAAATCTTGGGTATACTATTATGCTATTACCGCCACAGCATATGAATACAATCTAAATCTTAACAACTTACCTTTTTAGTTGTTGAACATGGTTCTGAAAACTCTTTCAATTCGACATTCATATTTTTCACGAGGAAAGAACGTCGATTCAAACACGAGGCACAAGGACACAATCACACAAAGAAAAATAAATATTGCCCAAAATCACCCCCAAACCTCCCTAAATGCCAACTGATGTACATAATTCATCCGTGTAACCCAGGGCTTCTCGGTCAGAAATGAAGTTGGTTTGGGTTACCTGTAGAAATGCCAACTTCTGTCGCCCAAAACGACTACGACGAAAAGGAAAAAAGACCATGGCATTTTAAGACTCCGCTGCGCATACGCAGGCGGAGTAATAAGTTATACAAACCTTCTGAAGAGGCTGGAATGTATACAGCTGGCCAGGAAAAACTCAGTTGGCTTGGATTTACTCTTAAAAAAAGAATTCCTTTTTTTGGAATTATTGCAATTTTTACTATATATCTGCAAATTATATCCAGATAAAAGCCTTAGGGTGTTTTTCAGGTAAAAAAGAACGTATTCCAGCCAGAATATCTTTGGTGTTTTTAACACTAGTAACTAGCTAACTCTGATATCATTTTGAATACTTAATTAAGATATACAGTAGTAATTTCCGTTGTTACAAGAGTGCATTACCAGAAATTTGCGACATGATAATTTGCATTTATACTAATTTGCATTTAACTTTCAGCATAATGGCCTTCAACTTTTACTATTAAATACATATAGTAAATATACAAAACCTTAAAATGTCGTTGCCCTAGACCTTGCCCACTGTTTGCCGACCTCTGGGTCAATAGAACAGCCGTTTCCCAACGTTTTAATGATCGAATTACTTACCTTAGGTATTTCTAACTCTAGCTAACTCTGATATCATTTTGAATACTTAATTAAGATATACAGTAGTAATTTCCGTTGTTACAAGAGTGCCGGTAAACCAGCGAGTGATCAAAATTTACATTGTCATTTTTTTAAGAACCCACGGTAAACACACAGCGATACCATGATGAGCTGGGCGTGGCTTTCTCGGGCGGTGGAATCCGGTCAGCGTCTTTTTGTTCAGGTGTTCTGCGCAGGCTTCTTGATAGAAAAGCAGAACCTGATTATTTAAGCTGCGTGTCTGGCGGAGGTTACACTGGAAGTGCTTATGTCCAGTGGAAATACCGAAAAGGGGAACCGAACGGATGGACGGACGAATTTTTTGACAATATGAGGAAAAATGCAAACTATTTTTTCGATTCTCAATGTGTCAAGGGCTGCTGCTGCTTGGACTTCGTGATATTATGTGCTTTGCTCTTCTTTGTTGCTGTAATAACTCCAATTGCTTGTTGGGGCTCTTTCGCTTTTCCAATTGCGTTGATTATTAAACATCTGTATGGTCAATTTCTTGATGGTATACTCTGTAGTGTAAATCCTGATAGCACGGATTGTCTAGAGCGCAACCTACTTTTTTCTATCTCTTTTAGCTTGCTTGTTGTTTTTCATTTGCTTGAATACTGTTGGGAGAACTTATGTAAGAAACTTTCTGCGAAGAAGAACTTGTGTAAGATGGTTTTAAAACTTGGTCAGTTAATTTGTGGTGCTACTTTTGCTTTTACGTTTCTGCCATGGTTCATTAACGATTTCTTACGATTTTCGCCCCTTGTTATTCAAGTCGGCATAATCGTTATTACGGCATTCTTCTGGTTTTTTGTTCCAGTTTTGCGCAAGTACTCTTCCCTTGTGATTCTTATCTATTCCTACTCATATGTCGTGTACTGGCACTTATATGAGAGAAAACTTCTCACATTTCAGTATACAAAAGAGAGATTTGAGATATGTTTCATTGTCTCTGTGGTGATATTAGCAGTATTTTCGATTCTTGGAGATTTTCCACTTCGCTTGGTTCATATTTATAACAGGTGTGAGAATTTACAAGTCTATAATTGATAATTGAAAGTTAAACGAGACTTACCTGGAAGTTGAAGTTTGACGTAGATTCTACGAAATATTGGTTATTGAGCTAAGGAGTCACGTGAGATATGCGCGCGAAGCAAGCTAGATCACACTTAAAAGCTGAGGGGTCATGAAATCACAACCTGTGTGTGATAAATGTGTAGGTCAAATCCCACCACAAGGGAGGGAAGGTTGACTCCTTAGCTCAATAACCAATATTTCGTAGAATCTACGTCAAACTTCAACTTCCAGGTAAGTCTCGTTTAACTTTCAATTCTACTTCATGATTGGTTATTTTCGCTAAGGAGTCACGTGAGACTTCAAAGTGTCATGACCCATGGAAAAAGGAAGCAAGGAGAAAATTTCACAACAGTGAAAACAAGTTTAATATGAATGAGTATTAATATTTACTGCACCCCTAAAAGGGCTATACATAACTGCAAATAAACAATAAACATGATGTATTAATAACTAACTCAAGATGGCAGACAGAAGGTCGTTGTCATAGTTCTTGGTAGCATCTGTAATAGTTTTGTTGTAAAACTTACTAAAGGTTGTCTCATTTGTCCAACCTGCGGCAGCCAGGATTTTGTTTGTGTCAATCTGCTTCACATGCGCTGCTGAGGCGGAAGCTGCTCTAGTGCTGTGTGCACTATATTTCTCGGTGTTTATACCAGCTTTGTGCATAACAGTTTTAATCCACCTTGCAAGGGTGTCGGTTGAGACAGGGTTGTATGGTTTTCGGAAGCTCACAAACAACTGAGTATGAGTTCCTCTTAGTGTTGATGTTTTGTCCAAATATGATTTCAGATGCCGCACTGGACACAAATTTTTGTTATCGTGAAAGGCTGCTACCACCACTCTGTTTAGGTGTTTTCCAGGTTGGGATGTTTTTAGTAAAACATCAATGTCAAAACTGCACTGGTCAGTTTTCAAACTCATCCTGTTGATGCATAATGCTTTGAGGGTCTGAAGTCGCTGGCTTGTTGTAATTGCAATTAACATGGACAGTTTGAGGGACAAATCCTTTAGTGAAATCTCTTCAAGTTTCCAGTTTTCAAGAACTTTAAGCACAACCGAGATATCCCAGGTATCTTGATATTTAGGAAGTGATGGCCTCTGTTCGAATACACCCTTAAGGAGCCGAGTTGCAATTGGATGGGAACCAAAACTGACATTGCCGGGTAGGCAAAGGATAGAGGACAATGCACTTCGGGCAGTATTGATAGCACTGTAACCCAGGCCTGACTCATACAGGGATGATAAAAAAATTATTCCATCTGATACAGCAGGGTGAATTGGATCAATTTCCCTCTTGTTACAGTAAAGTTCCCATTTCTGGAGGTAAGATCTATATTGTTTGACAGTCCCTGGTCGCCAGGATTGGACGATAATGCTGGAAGCTTCTGCTGAAATGCCCTGTTCTTTGAGGGATCGCCAGACAAGAGGCAGATGATTAGCTCCAGATGAGGATACAGTGGATGTATTGTGTCTGGATTGCTCGCAGCGGCGTAGCCAGAACGATAATTGGGGGGGTCCATATTCATATATTCGTGATACGCAGGATTAATTTCTTTTCAAATCAATTGTCTGTACAGTCTGTTTACATGAATATATGAATATGGACCCCCCCAATTATCGATGCTGGCTACGCCAGTGATTGCTCGGAAGGATCAGTGTTGTCTTTGTTTTTGGTAATAATATTGGGTGGGTTATTAATTGACTCATTAGTTTTGGCCACCATGTCTGTGTTGGCCATCTTGGGATTACCATAATGACTGTGCATTGTTCCTCTTGGACTTTTTGTAAAATTCTAGAAATGAGACAAAAAGGGGGAGATATATAAGGCTGATAACTTCCCCATGGCATGTGAAAAGCATTGACAGCTATAGCTCCTGAGTCTGGGTGGAAAGATACGTAGGGTTCTAATTGGTAATTAATTCTTGAGGCAAACAGGTCTATGTCAGGTGTCACCCCAAGTCTGAGTATTGCATCCTGAAAAAACTGTTTATTAAGTGACCACTCAGCACTTGTGTTAGTGATTCTTGACTGGTGGTCTGCCTCAACATTTTCCACCCCAGGAATGTGTACAGCTGTAATCCAAATGTGATGAGTATGGCACCAGAGCCACAAAGATTTGCATAGTGCATTTCTTACACCTGACTTACTGGTACCCATATTATTAATATCAGAAAGTGCTGTCATGTTATCGATCATGGCCTTTACATGTTTGCCATTAATGGAACTTACAAAGGTTTTCAGTGCTAAGAAAACAGCTAGCAACTCTAGGTAGTTAATATGATGTTGTGCCTCTTCATTGATCCAATGCCCCCCTGTTCTAGTTTCTCCCAGGGTGCAACCCCAACCGGTAGAAGAGGCATCTGTAGTAATTACAATATCTGGCAGTCCATGGCTAACAACATTGTAGCTGCCTGGAGCAGAATTGATCCACCAGGTCAGCTCCTCTTTAGCCTCATTATCTAAGGTCATCAAGGAATCAAAATTGCCTTTAGAGACCTTAAGGGCTTGAGATTTCACTCTGTCAAGGTGTCGAAAATATAGTGGCCCAAGCATGACACCTGGAAAAGTTGAAATTAGATATCCAAGACTTGGGATACCTCTCTAATGGTAGGTGATGTGTTCTTTAACAGATTTGAGCACATCTCGAGGACCTTAGATACCTTTTCAGGTGTCATGTAAATTCGCATAAGAGTTGAATCCAAAATGAATCCTAAAAAACATAGTCGTTGTGATGGGATAATTTAAGCACCGATTTGTCAGGGTGAATAACAAACCCTAGTGTGACCAGCAGTCGAACAGTGACTATAACATTTTCTAAACAGTTGACATAGTCATCACCCTGCAGATATGAGTCGTCAATGTATGGGGAGGAAATGTGTCCCAGTTTCCTTAAAACTGAATACACTGGTTTAAGAAGCTTTGTAAACTTTCGTGGGCAACTAGAAAGCCCATTAGGGAAGCATGTGAATTCGTACAAAGAACCTTCCCACTCAAATTTTAGATATTTATGATGTAGCTTAGCTACAGGGACGGAATAATAGGCGTCCTTAAGGTCGACTGATGCCATAAAACAACTAGGGGTCATCAGATTGATAGCATCAATGAGTGTGTCCATTTTAAAATGGTGGTATTCTATATGCTGGTTAAGGTCTGACAAATTCAGAATCATTCTACTTGTACCATCCTTTTTAGGTCGTACAAAAATTGGAGATATAAATTCTCCAGGTTCATGTTGTGCATGAACGATAACATTTTTGTGAAGTAATTTCACTATCTCCGCTCGTATGACAGCCCGTTCAGCTTCCGTACATTTCGACTGTGTCCGTACGTGATCCTGGAGCGGCAGGGTGTCGAATTCTAAGTGTTGGCCTCTCACTATATCTAAAATCTCTCGATCAGAGGTAATTTTTTCCCACTCATGGCAAAAAAGAGCAAGACGACCGCCACAAAAGTGGCTGATTTGCTTGTTAAAAAGCTCCTTTAGCACCGGTAACACCGATGAAAAATCGCTCACCTTAACATTAGAAATCTTTGTGATAATATCTTTGTCGATGGCAGTCACTTCTTCTGAAATTTGGGGCCCCCTTCGCGTTTCTTCTGATGACTGGGGTATCTGTTGTTTGACCAACGCGGGTTGGGCCCTTTGGATAAAAAAGACTTATCACGATCATTTCTTGAATGGCGCTGAAAATGCGATTTGTTGTGACTACCAAAATGCCCAGCCGTGGATTGGGTGGCTGTTTGGCTAATGCGATTCGATGCTCGAATTGCATTTAGTTGGCTTTGTAATTCATCGCCAAACAACATGGAGGTCACCGATGTTTGGGAAGAACACAATGAGGCGTACTCCTTATTCAGGATGGGCTTCATCATTTCGCGACGGCGAAGTGAAAGATCATAATTTGTGTGCCCCAGGAGCGCAAGGGCATCGACTTGAAGTGTGAGAACTTCATTCATGATGTTGTTTTCGCCACCCGCGGCGTCGGGGCGACGGATGCCGCCAGTTTGGCGGGCATTCATCAGCAATTGTGCAGACTGTGTGAGAGCTGTACCAACCGCCACCAGGGACTTCTGGATGGCGACAAGTTTAAGATCTTGTCGTTGGCCAATGTTTGAGATGCGAGACCAGATTTCGGGATTAACCTTGGGGGCAAGAAGTCGTTCGCAGTTCTCAGGCCGATCATATTTCGCTATTTTCTCTTTGAATTTTTCGTCCGGCAATTTTGACGACCATCTCTTATTAACGATATCGGCTAACTGAGTCGAGACCGGTGTACTGGTTTTGTCGTCACCGGAATACTCTAAGGCTAACGTTGTGAGGAAGGCATCTTCCTCGTCGCCATCTTGAGTTTGGGCTGACTCAGGCTCGTGCGCTGAAGGATTATCGTCGAGTAAGGCATCCGAACATCACTGCCTTCTCGATCACTGGGCCGTTCACTCGACCTCTTTTTCTTGCTGCTCAGAGTCGAGGACTCTGCTGACTCCACCGCCCGAGAATCTCGTTTGGCAGTAGCGGTTGGAGCTTGTTTTATGTTGCGGATTTCTTGACTCATATGTGACATATTGCTGGCCAAGGTGGCCATATGAGCATCGATAGATTGAAGAACATTATTTAAGGTCAAATCTTTCTCATCAGTATTCGTTAAATCGTCGCCTTTAAGCAGTTCGTTTTCGATCTCATCTGTTTCAGCCATGTGTAAATGAAACTTTTTTAAGCTTGTGTTTCTAGCAACGGTTCGCTTGCAAGTGATCTAGCTTGCTTCGCGCGCATATCTCACGTGACTCCTTAGCGAAAATAACCAATCACGAAGTAGAATCACATAACTTATTATAGAAACAAACTGCTAAAGTCACATTGTTTGTTCTCATTTTGAATTTATATACGTTTTAAAATACGCTGTGTTGTCTGAATATCTAATATCATTAGGTTCGCTATGCATGTCTTATAAGAATGAATATGAACTAGTGATTTTAATGAGAAAAATTCTAAACCTGCGAAATGTGTTTCTTACAGGTGGAGATTGCAGAAAGCGTTTTATAAACCTCCAGAATCCAAAATATGCTGTTATTGTTATGACATCTTTCCTGGTGGCCACTGTCCATCGTGTTTTTGTGCGTCTTGCGTGTGTCCACCTAAAGTCGACGAAGAGGCTCCAAATGACCAGCAAAGCAGGGGAGAAATAACATTGCAAGTCGACGAAGAGGCTCCAAATGAGCAGCAAAGCAGGGGAGAAATAACATTGCAAGACTTGGGAAAAAAAGTAATGAAACCAGAGTACCTTAGTAATGTGGTAGTAAACGGTTGGCGCAAAAACTACGATCGAAAATATAATCTACTCACGATGAGCTCAAAAGGTTAGTAAAATTCTTATGCCTGTCTTGCTTGTAGGATATTTTCTCTCAGTTCACTATTTTTCGCATTTAATTGTACTATATTATTATAACGATCTAGTGTAGGGAAGAAAAAAATCTCTAATTTGTCATGGTTTAAATATAATATTCTTTGAAAATCAGTGACCTTTAAAATTGTTAGTAAGGTGTAATTTATTCTACTTAACCCTGCGTCCAGCACTAGGTGCGTGAGTATAGCTATTGATCTGTTGAGTTTTCTTACTAGTCAATTCTTCTAAAAGGTCAACACGGCTAAATATTAATAGAGCTTTCAGTGACTGACTGCGATGATTGAAGCCCTGTTTACACTACACTTGATTTATCGGCATGGCACGGCTAAAATGGGTCCCCGTGCATGCCCATCTCATTAGTGCCCGACCTTTGTCTGAGCACTAATAAAATTGAGCACGGGTACCCATTTTAGTCGTGCCGTGCCAATAAATTTGGTGTAGTGTAAACGGAGCTTGAGTGTAATTGACTGTAATTCCTTATACACAATATCACAATAATTTGGCGGACAATAATCCGAAAGAATACTACGTAGATAAACTAATCAAATAAATTTATTTCTTTTTTCCTAAAATATAAAAAGTGGATTCTCCAACACTTTCTTTATTTATATCAACATGTATAAACTAAAAAATGAAAGTACTTTCAACTTTAAAAATCTACCTACGCGTAATTCGGATATAGCTAACAACGGTTATTTGGCTAAAAAGATGTTATGGGATATAACAACGGTTTTACAGCCAAGTACCGTCACCTGTCCGAACTCAATTATCTACTCAGATTGAACTAAGATAAATAAGATCGAGTTTACATTGTTAGGAAGGGGAATAAGCTTGAAATGAAGAGGGGAATTTTCCGTTTCGGTCAGACAAAATATTCACTTCCCTCTTAAAAAGAAAGCCCCGTGGAAAACACTTGTGGGAAACTCATGAACATATAGCAGATGTTTAATCCTTCTTAAACCACGAAGTTGTATGTAAAAATGCCGTTGACCTAGATCTTGCCCACTGTTTGCCGACCTCTGGATCAATAAAACAGCCGTTTCCCAACGTTTTAATGATCGAATTACTTACCTTAGGTATTTCTACGTTCGGCCAAATGATTGTGAACAAATGGGTGTATAGCCTTCGTATTATTCAAGTTACAGATAAGACTGATAATATTTTTTAAAGTGATTGCAGTAAAAATCCGAGCCGTACAAGAAAGTTTATACACAAATACGAAAGACAATATCTTCAACAATTTTTTTGGTGCATTATACGTCAATTTATCAACTATCTGAATCGAAATATTCGAATCAATGTGAGCGATTTTAAAAGTTCGTGGACAGAACACGGACAAAACTTTGAGCAATATATCTTTAAATTTGGCAGAATGCAAAAATGCCCAAGCTAAAAAATTCTGTCACCAAAACGTTTCTCAACAGCTGCTCTACCGATCTAGAGGTCGGCAAACAGTGGGCAAGGTCTAGGACAACGGCATTTTTAAGTTTTGTATAATTACCTAATGTATTTTATAGTAAAAGTTGAAGGCCATTATGCTGAAAGTTAAATGCAAATTAGTATACATGCAAATTATCATGTCGCAAATTTCTGGTAATGCGTACAATACTTGTAGTTACGGCATCATAAACCGATATCATGAATTTAAATGAAGTAAATTCCCATATATATAGTTTCTTTTTTGAAGGGATTTCTGTGATTGATTAGCAACCGGAAGCTATACTTAATCAAAATCCAAATCTGGACAAATTCAGAACGAGCTGTTTGAATGGCAAAGATTTCAAAAGAAAACTGAAACCCAGTGATATTAAATTAATATCTTCAGCGATGGCAATGTCTGCCGCGGCCCTCTCGCCCTATCTTGGAAAGCATGAAGCAGAAGAACAAAATTTTACGCATATTTTGACTTTGCTGGGCATGGAAATGGCTGCAAATCTTGTTTATGACATGGGTAATGAAAGAAATGCTGGTATATGTCATTGGGTAAGTTTTTCCCTGCAATAAATACGAGATATTTGTCAATCTCCATCCCAATAGTTTTGTCTGTCATTTTTACTGGTAACAAGATTACAAAGCAATTAAATTTAATTTTTTTGTCAATCTCCATCCCAATAGTTTTGTCTGTCATTTTTACTGGTAACAAGATTACAAAGCAATTTAATTTAATTTTCTTGTTAAATTTATTCTCGAGCGGGCACGAAGCGCCGGTAATAACTGCTCGGATATCAGTGATTACACCCAGGCATTGGGTTAGCTCAGGAAATTGTGTAGTGAAATAGCAAAGGGTTACTTCATGCATGTAATTGTAATAGTTATAGTGTAGCTGTTAGTATCAAAAATTATTTAAAATGCTCATGATCTTCCAGTTACTAGGGCCTATATTGAAAAATGCCATGTACTAATTGCAGAGTATTGTATAACTTTGAGATTTTTTCTTTCAATATAGGTTTGCTTATATATTGGAAATTTTGCCATATTTTTATTAATTGGCATTGCAGGAATTGTACTTTGGACATTTGACTTTTCTGCGGTCTCGACCGTGGTAATTACAGCTATAATTGCGTCACTGGTATTGGTTTGCATCTTGATATCGGCTTGTTTTAATAATTCGCCGTAAGTACATTTTTAAAAAACATTCAATCTGCCTGGACGACTTAGCAAAGACGCATATACATGAAAGATGCAAATGAATAAAGACTCCTCTTCAACAATAGAATTTGTCGAAACGAATACCTTTCTCTTACCTTCTTAACTTTTTTTTTATTTCTGGGACCAATTAAGAAAGCCCCTTATTTCTCGATCATCTATCTCTAATGCGGAATAATATAAACCGTGCATGACTGGCAGCTATCTCTGACTCGATCGGATACAGCAACTATGTCTATTTAAAACGAAGTCAAACATTTTTCCCGTTACCCAATAAAAAATATTTTACATGCACCTTTCTCGAAATATTTAGTTTATTTTTCCTCAATTTTAAAATTTTCCTGAGAAACGCACACAATGTTTCAAAGTGAAGGATAGTTGTCGACAATTATTACTCGTCGATGACTGTCTCACTGTGAAAGTTTGGCTTGTCACTCAAAAATAGTCGCCGACAAGTGACGAGTTTTCTTTCAGAAAATCGGGTAATTCCCGACGACTACAACTTCACAGACGTCATTTTTTAATCATCGACGACTGTTAGTTTTCGACAGCAAAACCGCTCGTCTCTAATTTAGCAAGCATACTTACCAATATTTATCTATTATTTTGTACCTCTTTGTACAGAGGCCTTCCTGAAATCATTAATTTGAAGGGGTTTTGTCATATTATTGCAGAACACACAGTTGGTTACTTGTACACCTGCCCATTTATCGTTTTGTGAATTCGCTTTTAAATTTCATCCACCATGGTTCAACACCACCAGCTATGTTACATCTAAGTGACGGTGGCCATTTTGAAAACTATGGCCTCTTACCCCTGTTAAAGTTGCGATTACCGAGAATTCTGGTCGCGGATGGATCCCATATTGAATCAGAAGATGACTATGCTAAGGAAATCATACAGGTTATGGAGTATGCGCGTGAGATATTGGATTGCTCTTTCACTGCAATGGACGGAGGAGATGTGTTGACTGACATAAAGAATAAATATGTCCATCCCAAGGATGTAGAAAATCAGAAATATCCAAGGATGTATAAGTTTAAAGTTCTTTACTCTGAAAGTGGTAGGTGATTAGCTAAGAAAAATTCAACTTTGACCGTAAATGTCTTATAGAACGTTCCCCGGTTTGGACAGTTCCGCAAATGTCATGGAAATACCAGAATGAGAGATATCACAGGATCAATGTCGATGAATGGGGATTGGGACCCACAATCAAAACCCACGAAATCAATGATGTTTCTGGTTTCCCAGTAGGTTTAGGCTGCTGTGATTGCTGGAGTCTGTGTTCAATCAAGTGCTGTGATAGTTGTTTATCCTTTCCTCGTCATACAACTGCGAACCAGTTTTTCACGCCGCGTCTATTTTCTTTGTATCACAGAGAAGGTTACAGAGCGTGCATGGAATGCGATGATTTTCTGAAACCAGCTAGTTTCAAACAACTCAAATTAGTGACACATGTGTAGTTTACTCACCAAAATCCAGGACTGGTTATGTATGGGCGCGTCTGTTACATGCATGCATGGAATGATTGAAATATCCAGCCTGGAAAAATGTTTATTTTATTGTTTTCATCAAGGAAAACTACCGGAATTGAGTTATAACAAAAGAAATTTGGAAAGAGTCATCTCTTTTTGGCACAAACTTTACTGCAAGATGTCATATGTGGCTCTAATAATAGCTTTTTATAATTTTATTCTAGAAACCCGGTCGTATAGAACTAGCTTCTAAAGAGCTGTTTACATGAGTCCGGTTACCCGAGATTCAACGAAGCGTGAGATGATTTTGAGGTGTTAAAATGAGCAGATAACTGCGAGGATCGTGTTATCTTCTCATTTCAATACCTTAAAATCATCTCATGCGTCGTTGAATCTCGGGTAACCGGGCTCATGTAAACAATCCCCCTAACTACGTTTTAATTTATAGGCTAGTCAAAATTTATTATTATTCACTGCATATACAATCTCCGTTCTGATTGGCTAGCCACCTACAAATAATTCCTGATATTTGTAATTATGACGTCATATTTACAAATAATTCCTGGTATTCTGTAATTGTGACGTCATATCTGCAAATAATAGTTATGAAAATTGTTGACGCCAGTAAAAGCTGTTTATTTTTTGAAAAACTGAACAAATATGGCGAGGTTCGCTTCTGTTTCTACAAGCGACATTCAAAAGCTTTTGGGACGACAAAGATGCAAATAATACTAAGAAAGCAACAAAGCACGCTTTGAACATATTTACAACATATTTAAAAGAGAAGAAATTGAATGAACCTTACGAGAAAGACACTTTAGCTGAACTGAAGTTTTGAAATTATTCTATATCGAAGCTCGAAAAGAAGACGGCACAGCATACAGCAAAAGCACCCTGAATTGCTTGAGATTTGGTTTAAATAGACACTTTCTATCCACTCGGAACATAAACATCATAAATGATCCAGCATTTTACGAAGCCAACAAAGTTTTTAGCGCAAAATGTGTCGAGCTTAAACGAGAAGGTCTTGCCAAAGTCGAACATAAACAACCGATATGTCAAGAGGACTTTCAAAAGCTGTATTCATGTGGTATATTTGACATAGAGCATCCTGTAACACTTCAAAACAAAGTCTTCTTTGAAGTAATGCTATACTTTGGCCGTCGTGGGAGACAAAATCTTCGTCAGCTAAAGAAAACTGACTTCTCGGTGATTACTGATGCAAACGGGAATAAATATGTCCGAAAAACAACCGACGAACTGACAAAAAACCGACGAGAGAATGACGACGGTTTGGACGGAGGTATTATGCTTGAAAACTCTGGTCCGCACTGTCCTGTAGCTTCCTTCGAGTTGTATACCCAACATTTGAACCCATTAAACGAATATCTGTTTCAACGACCCAAGAAAAACATTGACGACTCTCAACCCGTATGGTATGACAACATGGTGGTGGGGGAACGTTCTCTTGGAGACAAAATGAAAAGAATCTCGCAGGAAGCGAATCTGCCCAAAACATATACAAATCACTCAATCAGAGCAACGGCAGTTACAGTGCTTGATAGATCTGGCTTCGAGGCTAGGCACATCATGTCGGTAAGTGGGCATAAAAACGAAAGCAGTATTCGAAGTTATTGTAAAACAGACATATCCACGAAGAGACAAATGTCAACATCATTGTCATCAGAATGCGTAGGGGCTAATAATGAGTTACCTGGCCGGAGTAACCATCAGTCATCTCCTATATTCAGCCTTTCGCAAGAAGAGTTTATAATGCAAAACACCCACACGGAAAACAAAAAAACTTTTAACTTTCAAAATTGTTCCTTTAACTTTTTTCAGTAAAAACATCAGTTGCAGCCATGAGGCCATGAGTCATGACACTTTTTTGAAGAATTTTTTTCTGATGAAATATAATTTAGAGAAGGACGTTATTCGTTATTTAGTTAAAGTGACGATTGTGTGTTACTTTAGTAACCGTAATAATTTTTACTGACGCATATTCAGTCAATTAAAATGTTATTGTAATTTTGAAATAAAGATAATTCGTTCCAGAGCATCTTGTCAACCTCTACTTCTTTACTACCATTTAATCAGGTGAATAATAAAATAATTATTAAATTCGGTTTTCGCGTGATATTGAGAACTATTAGGGCCTCGGTTGGCGCAATATCACGCTCAACCTCATCCAATAATTATTAAATAGCAGTGAACTCTCGAAATACATGTCGATTCTTATTAGCCTGTAATTAATAGGTATAATTGGTATAATTCAATTACTCTTTCCATACAACCAGCCATAGGAGCTTATGTATTCATGTCAAATAATGCTTATTCTTATCAACTATAATTAGTCTGTACAGTATTATTTACTTCACTGCGTAGCATGCTCTTTATCAATTCAATTGGAAGCTACTTAAAATTGCAGGGTTAAAACGTTTGCGCTTTAATAGCAAACAAAGTAGTCGGATTAGTTGGGAATAACCGAGTTGATTGAAGAATCAGTTTGGAATTACTGGGTAATTGAGACAACACCTTCTTCGTGTAAATTCGCTTCACGAACGATCGCAATTATAGAAGCGAATTTCACGTCATCTCAATCGCAATCTCAAATCGCAATCTTTCCAAGTAGAACTGACACTGCCTGGGTTTCGTTGAGTCGTTTATAAACACTGAATGACTTACTCAAAACCATTATTAGCACTGCAGCTGCTTAAAAACATCTTGTTTGATACTCTAGATATGCACTTTGAGAAGAAAGCATTTTAACTTCAAAATTCAAAAAAAAAATCTAACAATTATTCAATCTTTTCTTGATAAACAATCGATGGTGAATCTCATCATAACAATCAAGTGAAGTACTTGGTGTAATACGATTTTTGCTGCGATTTTCTTCTTTTGGTAGATGTGAAAGAGATAAAAAGAAAACTTTATCCAACTTATTCTATGGATGTAGAAGACCCTGAGGGTGAGGCTAAATTTGCCAAACAACTCAAATTGTAAGTAATAAACTTTAATTAATTGATAACTGACATGCGCTCTCCACCATAGTTTTTGCAGACTTTTCCGTTTTTCTCAATTGGTTATTTGCGATATACATGGTCTATCATAGGCAGCCCCATTATGCGTGGTAGTTTGAACGCAAGAATTTTTTCGGCAATTTTTCAGCATGGTGTAAGAATAATATTAGAAGTTCAAATCACGCTTAAATTATCACGCATATTTGGATTGCCTATGGGTCTATTGTAATATTTAATTTTTAACAACGTTGTGTTCAGGACCGAACGGGAATTTCGTAATATTTTCCGTGCTATCCTCCTTGATCACCAAGATATCATGCTCTCTGTACGCCCCGGCCCCTGGCTCCCCCTCTGGTATTGTTATATGCGGCTCCATCGAGATGACCATATTGGGCTGTAACACTGTCTCGACATGCTCGCGAAGTTCCAAACCAGCTTCGCGACCGTAGTAATGGTTAATCACTCCAAACGAATGACCGTAGCCAAAAATTCGGTATCCGAGAAGTCCATGTTTCCGATAGATTTCGTTTAGTTCGTGAGCGATGTCACAACATTTTACCCCAGGCTTAATTAATTCTATCCCCCGGCGATGAACCATACAGTTGATTTCCCACAGTTCCATGTGGCGATCGCTTGGCACGTGATCACAAAATAGGGTTCGTTCCAGAGCAACATAGTGCCTATGAAAAAGAATAAATTGACAAGTTTAGTACCGTACTGATACCAAACATTTGTCTGAAAGGGGTCTTGTACTAAAAATCACGATTTATTCTGTTTTAAAAATTTCAAGGGATACAAATGATTTCAATGTCTCCCTGATGGATCCGCTGAATATTTTTTCTCAAGAAAACATATAAAGAACGCAGGATCTAAAATTAAACGAAAACTTTTGCATGATTTGCAAATGTTGAAAACGCTGCATCTGCCTCAGAGTTCGCCTTTTCCTTAACCCATAAATTATTTCAGGAATTGACTTACACTTTCCAACTAAAGTAATTAAGCTCCACAGTACGGAAAAGCCGTGGATTACTCCAGCTTTAAAACAGTATATAGTCGAGAGACAGAGAGCTTTCTACTCGGGAGACCAGCAGCTCTGGCGCCATTATCGATGGAAAGTAAGAAATGAAATATTAGTGTGTAAGCGTTCATACTATGCTAATAAAGTAGAGAACCCTAAATCTAGTAATCCAAGTAAATGGTGGAACTTCCCTTAAGAAGAAACCATCAACCAACGCCATAAATAGTGCTTAAAGACGGTGTGACTCTTTCTGGCAAACATCTGGCCCAGTTGTTGAATGACCATTTTGTTAGTGTCAGTTCTGACCTTCCACAGCTGGACCTTTCCTTTTTGCCAGCGTATCTCCTAACTTCCAGTCCTGTACCTACCATCGCACCTGAAGAGTTTGTGAAAAACTGCTATATAAGGGTTAGCACCTCTAAATCACACAGTCCTGACGGTATCCCTAACCGTATTCTCAAGCTGTTTGCATATGAACTGCTAGATCCTGTTTCCACCATTTTTAATACATCTTTATCTACTGGAGAGGTGCCTTTGATCTACAAAGATACTAATATTACATCGATTCCCAAGACCCAGATTGCAAGCTGTGAATTCGAGCTCCGTCCGATCTCACAGCAAATTTATCAAACATCCTTGAAGATTTCGTCGTTAATTGAATGTTGGATGATATTAAACATAAAATCGACCTGCAGCAATTTGGATGCTTAAAGGGAACATCAACGACTTTCTGCCTTGGTCAACAATTGGCTTAAAACGTTGGGCACTCTGTCTCGTTTTCTTAGGATTTGTTTTGTGGATTTCAGCAAAGCCTTTGATGGCATTAACCACAAAGTTTTCGTTAGAAAATTGCTTTGGCTTGCATGGGGTCAAGAGTCACTGGTTCTATGGATTCGCGACTTTCTAATCGTCGCCAGTCTGTGAATATCGATGGTTTTAGTTCTGATTGGGCTTTTGTAAATGGAGGGGTCCCTCAGGGAACAAAGCTGGGAATTGTCCTATTCTTAATATTGATAAATGACTTGGAGTTAAAGTCACTTAATACAAAATTTAAATCATTGGAAATTCGTCGATGATGTCACAATTTCAGAGTTCCTGACGATTAATGAGATTTCAACTCTTCTATCTGAGGTACGATCTGCCGGACCAAACAGTTTGCATCGTCGGATTCTCTATCCCGGAGTCGGACTTCCGGGGTTGAATGTTGCGGGCTATATAAGAATATTGGTCAAAAATCGACGTTTAGAGCAGAAGTTGCGGGAAAACTCCTTGTACTGCTTCCACCAAACAATATTTCTTTTCCTTACATTCGGACTTGAAATCTACATGTTTTGGCACGTATTTTGATGTGAATTTCGGACCGATGGCAATGAACTGCAGGTTATTTGCATATATTGTTCTCGTCATGAATAATGCAGTCTCTGCTGTTGGTGATGTGAACACACTCAGAATGGAGGCATTTACGTACGAGATAAGCAAGCAAGAGAACAACCTCGTACCCTGGGTCTTTTTTGGGTACGAGGTTGGCAAGCGAATTTCATATTTTTACCTTGTATTCTTTAATTACTGTATACATACCACAGTGTTGTGTATATTTTGACAAATTTGATAGCCTGATAAATGCTGTCTAAATATATTCTGTAAATAGCGTCAGGAATGCCATACAGGCTACACTGCTGCAGTACACATTAATTACTCGGTTTTGTTTTGTTTTTGTTTTTTTATTTTTCCTCGTCGCAAGCGTGTAATGGCGCGAAATATACTAGTATTTGAAATGTGTATGTGACCATATTTATCTACGTCCCAGTCTTGTCTCGGAACAAATAAACCGTTCTTTTCATGCTGTTCGATTACGTTTAGATTGAATTGGGGTAAGAATATATTTAATACATGTAGATTCTGGTCCTATTTTAATAATATTGCTGCTATTTCGCCGTTTAACAAGATGTGGTCGTGTATGGGCGTAGTTTGCACAGGATGAAGATTTAATATAACTGCATTAGCGCGAATTCCAAAGGCAAACTGTAGGACAAAGCAAATGTATCATGTGGTTTATTTGCATTTTTGAACAATTGAACTTCTATACTTTTTAAAGTACGATGTGCTTCTGAATTTCGCAATCGAACATTTAGGTTCGCAAGGCATCTAAATGAATATGAATTTATGAACTGTATTGTTTATGTTCAGAAGCTTTATATTAAAGACTGACACGTACGCCGGAGTTACAGAACAGGCGTCTTGTTATCCTTTAAAATGGTTACGAAGTACGAACACGTTTATTTTTTTGATGAACCTCTTTAATCTTAACCTCGTAGAGGCTATTGTCTTTCGCCTCCTGTTTAAATGATTTTTTCCACATCGAACCGCAAATTCGTCGACAAAACGTAAAGGTTTGCATAATGACGGATAATGTGCGCTTTGGCCTGGACACCATATTGTTTTTACAAGGCGCGCATTTTGTAACAGAAAAAACTGGACACTAGTTTGAGCAAGAGTGGGAAAGAGTGGGGAAGAGTTTGATTTTCTGCTTCTGAACACAAGGTAAATGATAGTTAAAAACATACCCTTGAACGATAGGAAAACAGTTCATGCTAAGAATGTCCCCTTTTTGAAGTTGGCGGCTTGTCACTGGATTATGGGCACCATCTGTGTTAATGCCAGATTGAAACCAAACCCATGCTGAAATAGTAGTCAGAAAACCATGTCATGTTTCTGTACAATTCTAAATTGATATTAGTCATAACAAAAAAGTGCGGGTAAAAGATATTATAGAATAAACACAAATACATAGGGCTCTCAAACCACATTCTTTGACCGCTGGGAATGGAACTGAGACAAACATGCTATCGCATGCACGCATCAAAGCTCAAATTTGCTTCGTTTTGCCTTCAGACGGGCAAGTTTGACTAATTCGATCACTAATTTTCGTTTTAGAAATATTTTATTATTTTTGTGGTTAGTAACAAAAGGTATGAGGTATCATTGGGAAACTAAATATCTGCTCTTTCATACTGCATAAGGATTAAATCATTAAATTTTATCACATCATACTGTAAAGCCTGTCAATTTTTATTTCGTTTTTCATATGCTGTACGCATATGAATGACTCGATGTATTTTTTAACATACCACTCTTTTTTATAGCCCTTCAATTTTAAGATTATTAATCTGGTTCTACTTATACGACACTTACTGTCCCGCAGTTCTTGATGTGGATAAGTCCTTGCAATCTCTCTAACCATGGCATCAGTCCCCGCAAGGGCCACCTCGTGTTCTCGTACACCCTCTGTTATCACATTTTTAATGGCTTCACCACCTAGGTCAGCAATTCTTGCACCTTGCTTAATTAATTCAATTTCTTCGTTAGATTTGATCATGCGCATGCGCATTGTAGATTCACCAACATCTGTAAATTTTGCGTTCGGCAAAGCTTCAGAAAATTTTGTATACTCGTCGATAGGCACGACGTCAAATTCGAGGCCAACATGTTTTGCATCACCTAACTGAACATATCAAAATAATTAGTTTAAACTTTAGAACAGTCCATTGAACGGAAACAGTCCACTGACTCCGTTCTAAGGGGCTGTTTACATGAGCCCGGTATTGGTATTGGTATTGGGGTATTTGAGGCATTGAAATAAGTTTTCATGACACCAAAAAAGCACATGCTATTGTTGTGGTGATTATACGACTGCCAGGCATGTTATCTGCTCATTTTAATACCTCAAAATCATCTCACGCTTCGTTGAATCTCGGGTAACCGGGCTCATGTAAACAGCCCCTAAGGCCGATTCTCCACTGGCACTGGCGATAATTTTCGCGCGAAGGGACATTTTAACTTTCATTCAGAGCTGTCCTCTGCAAACATCTGGACATGTTGAATTGCTCAAATACAAAAGAATGAAGTATTAAACACCGGGACGCGATCCGCTAACGCGACGCGATTTTTACGAATTTTTGAGTTTCAAATGATTATGTTATTCAAATGTTTCTTGATTATGTTATTGTATTCTTGATCATTCGTTGAGGATAGCAAATTTTGACGTTTCCTGGGCCCCATAGCTTTCAAAATTTCCTTCCAGAATTGAATTTATTTGCTTCAAAAAGCTGAAAATTCGCGTTGCTTTGGCGAATCGCGTCCGGTGTATGTGGGCCTTAAGGATATTCTTTTCATATGTTAATGACAGCTCACTGCACAATATGAGACCATATGTAATCTGGACATAGACACTAAAGCCGATGGTTCATTTCAGACAATGTGTGATCCACTCCACAAACGTGTTTTATCTCAACGGCGTTATAATACAGCTATTTGATTAAGCTAAAACATTTAATTATAACAACATGTGGCAATCATATTTGTGAGGGTAATAGGTCAATCCTGTTTTTACCAACTTCGGGTTTTTCTGCCTTTATACAGAAAGTTGATTGAAAATAATTGAATTGCAACATTTTATCCCGGTCTCAAAAGTTGAATGTTACCCCCATGCATATTTTGCAACATGCGATGAATAGTAAAGAATACATCCTGTCTGTCCTTCGCGAGCAGCCCCAAGAAAGAAATTAGCATTTGCGCCCTTGTGGAGTATTTCTCAAACTGAGGTAAAGCAGCTAAAGCAGTTCACTGGGGTAAAGTTCTGAGTGTTCAGCATTAGTGATAATCAAATCTATTACTATAAGGCAAACCTCTTGTTTTACTGCATGAAAGAAATTGTCCTTGTGCCAGTCTGTGTAAACGATATTTTCTCCAAACGTCCGTCGCCATGGTTGACCGTAATCAATACCTGTAGCAATGAAAATATTTAAGACATATGTTATGAAATTAACCACGTTCAGAGCGTACGGGGCGGGGGAAAGTGTCCCCTTAAAAAGCCATTTGATTCTAGAAAAGTTGGGCAAATATTTATCGAATTATACCAGAGTTTAGGGCCGTAGGCGTCGCCAGAAACTTAATTGGAGGGTTGAATATTATTCATATATTCGTCTTATGACTTTTGCCCGACTGATTTCTTTGTACGCTTGTCCCTGTTCCTGTTATACGTAAGCATTAATATATGAGTATATAACTCCACCCCCCAATTAAGCGCTCTAGCTACGGCACTGCAAAAATCAGTAAGGCAATTTGTGCTAAAATAGGCCGAGGCTGCATGGTTTAATTAGTATCATTATCATCAATGCGAAGATACTTCGCCGGTGCGCACATATTGAATTTAAAAAGATATAGTGATATTGGCCTTAATTGGTGTCTCTGTGTGCATGGCCAGTGTCGGTTCTTAAGACATTGAAGTTCCAAGCAAATTGGAAAAATTCTTGAGTATTTATATAGATAAATGGACCTGTGTGATACATTTCAAAACGCGATTGCAAAACAGTGTTATTTACAATAGTGTTGTATCATATTTCTGTTTATGGTTTGCTGGAATATATCGCATAGCATACACCATATCATTGCCATCGTCTTCTTTTACTGAAAAAACAAAGTTATTTTACGTTTCCTAGCAAAGTTTTCTTTCATCGGCATTCACTAACAATTTTACAAGTATATTGAAATTGAGTAAGACCAATGTGAACACCTATATAGCCCTCTTACATATATATCGCTAGACTGTGTAATGTGTGCATATAATGCCTAGATTTGTTACTCACTTAAATTCGTTTGAAGATATTTACTGATATATGGATATATGGTTCATTCACACTGTAGTAATTCAGTATCGCTGTCAGACGGGCTTTTAGACTAATTCGAATTTTCTAACAAATCGGCATAAATTTTCAAACCCTTTACCAGGCATTCCTTGAATATTTGTTAGTTAGAAGAATTAACTTCCATTTCAAAACAAAATGATTTGGTTCTTGGTCTCAAGCTCGAAAATTTGAAGTGGGCAACACACATGCTATATATATTGCCATAGGTAAGCTTTGAGAATAGAGATATCGGTACTCGTTATGACGTCACATGCAGCAAACATGGCGGGTATAAAAGTTGGCATCTGATACCGGGGTTTAAGGACAAAATTAGTCAACTTAAGGTACCAAAGTCATATATACATCAAAATGTTAATAAAAGACTGAATATTTTTAGGCTAACAAAAATAAGGTCGAAAATTTCGTTGCAGTAGCACTTTTTGTAGTACTCACATGCAGAGACGCTAATTGCTTTCTCTGGTGTAACGATGTAGGCATAATTCCTCCCAAACTTGCAGTACAGAAAATCGCTAAAGTAGTAAACGTTGTGGTACGATGTAAATACACATGCGTCTAGACCAGCCGTCTCCATGTGCTGACGTATCATGTCCTGGCGACGGGTCATCTCTTGCGGCGAATAAGTCGGTTGAACCTACATAAAAAGTAAAGAATATAATGCAGATGTTAGTTTATGCGAAAAAATGTTAACTATTTGTGAAGACAAAACTCGTATCAAATGACGGATTTCACGATTTGTACGACCCGTGTCTTCTCGACATTATGACATGTGTAAAACAAGGCTAGTGTTTAGAATTGAGGGGGTGCTAGGAAGAGAAGCCCACCCCAGGAACCTTCGAAGTGTGCAAGTGGTAAGCGGAAAGATATGAATGGCGATGCCGAGTACCACTAACCTTTTCTCCATTTTCGATTTTCATTGTTCGTGGTTGATCGGATAGTGGAGTTTGCATACTAAAACATCTTGACGACATTGACATCGAAGGACGTACTCGAATAAATGCTTGAAGGCTTCTGGACACAATAGCAGCACGCATCTGTTTCCAATTTCGAGAAGACTAGCTTAGCGATTATACATACTGTGCTGTGTATGTGTATTTTATTATTATTATATACACTTTTTCAATTTCTTATAGCCCTTTTGTTGCAATAAAGAGATTAAACACAAATAAATTATGCAAACTAACTATGAATACTAACAAACTGTTACCGCGGTTTTACGATAATTCTTTTTGTTGCCCGTGTTTACACACAGACGAAGTAGAAGACGAACTATCTTTCGCTTTCCAAAGTTCGTCTAGATGATCAGTCTCTTGTATAAATCGGGCCATTTAGAAAAAACGACGGTTAATAGTCAGAACAACGCTGAAATTCCAGCACAGTCAACAGGGCTGCATTCATTCCAAAGGTCAACATTAGAGACCTTTAGCTTGACGTTTACGGAAAATACCAAACTGCTAATAAACTGTGTGTTATAACTCCACTATCTTAAAGTGTGCAGCTACTGCAGCAAGACTTGAAACAAATATTAATGATAATATGGCAGCGATTTTATACGCGACGTCATCGTTTTCAAATTTATCCGGCAATTCCCGCACAGCCGTCTACACGTATCCACTCAGCTGTCGTCTTCAAATTCTTCCACTCTGGAGAGCGTTTTCAGATTCTTCCATTTTTAGTGGGCGAAAACCCCGGATATGTGTGAATGGTACGCGTAACCATAAAAATATTATTGCGTTTTCAAATTCTTCCGGCATCGTATCGACGGCCGCTTTCTTTGAAGTGGTCGACTGCATACTCACAGCCGTTCAAGCATTAAATCTTATACGGCGAGTTAGACATAAACGGCAAAGCTGAATTTGTTGCTTCGCTAAAAACATATCACATCAGAAAAAGTCTATAGCTTTCTTACATTACTGCTGAACATCACGAGTTTTATGAACGTTTGTGGTTTAGCGAAATTGTTGCATATTTAAGATAGTGGAGTTAAGATACCAAATTTATTACCAGTTTGGCGTTTGCCGTAAACGTCGTAAACGTAAAGCTATAGCTTAATATAATCATCACCTTGGCAGTTTCCAGCAACCTATTGCGACTCGAGAATAACTCACCTTCATTGACTATTCCTAGTTCTTTTCGAATTTGTGTCTTATCTGTGGTTGCAAACCATGCGACAGAGCGTTGCGACTTGATTTGAAGTCAATGATATTACGCAACAATGTTTTAGCCTGGTTGGCTGGTTATCATATTTCGGTGCAATCTCGAAACCAGAGCCCGCGATCCATCGGGGGAATGGCTCTTTCCTTAGGCCTCTTATACGTGCCTTATACACGCGGCGAGGCGGGAACTGAGAGGCCTAAAACAAAATGTTTTGTATTTTGGCTAAAATGGGACGTTTATACGATCTACCACGCGGTTATAACTGTAGTTCGACGTCGCTAGTCAAATATTTGCTTGAAATAAGGGAAATTAATTATGCTGCCAGGATTTCGAAATATTCATACAAAAATAACGTCAGATCGAGCACGCAGGGCAGCATAGAAAATTTTAATGAACTCGGAAGAAACTTATATAAAAAATTTATGGTTTCACTCTAAAGCAAAAAAAAACGTTGTCAAAAGCTTAAATCGCGTACCCTGTGCTAATTTCTGGGGTTTGGAGCTAGAAAACCCTTGCATACTCCCCCTAGAAAAATGCCATTCCCTTCGTTTTTTCGGTTGAGATTTTTCACAATATTCGATATAATTCAATTGATCTGAGTATAAAAATTCAACCAATCAGAAGCCAGATCCTCGACAAAACTGAATTTATGACTTCGGCACTGGAAAACGTTAACTGGGATTATTTCTTATGCTGACTGAACACTTTATTCCTCACTTAAGTATTAGTTGGAAGCACTGTTGGAAGAACGAGGATAAATTGACTCCAGTCGCAAGATACCCGTTTTAGTTAGTCACTGCTGTGGTTACTGATAGTTTTGTCGAGGCGCCTCATGACGTTGTGATATTTGCAAATGTAAAGTTTTGAGTTATTTTGATACAGCCCGAATCAGAACGCAGATTCCGGGATACCAAAATTCGCCCTCGCGATTCAGGCTTACTTGTTTGTAAACTCACTCAGGTTGAAGAATTATTAGTTTATTATGGTAAAGACAAATTAAAATATTATAGCTAAAGTAAATAGATAGAGTATTTACATTTTTACAAATAGTTAAAACAATATATTACTACGAAGAGACAAATACGTCTTTGTTAAAAGCATGAATATTTACAACACTTAATTTGCGATATCGAATTTTAGTTCACCAATGAACATTCTATCTTGTACACTATATTACGTTAATTAGAACTGGCAAAGGTATTTGAATGCATAAGGTGGCAGAACTTTGAATTATTTCGTTCCCTATAAAACAGACCATTACCCACAAATGACCCTTTTTACGGATACGAAATCGTATTTCAGAGCACACTGATTGATTGAGAATAAGTTAGCAACTGGGCACGAAACCAAGAGGAAACAGCGTCGTGTGTGGTAAACGAGAGGTTAAACACCAGAAAGCCCTGGAATCGAGGTAGCATGCGGTCAAACATGATTAATCAATAGGATCTATTCGTAATTATTCAGAGATAGAAAACGTTCATAGATTGACGATTTCCAACTAGCCCACAATGAAATGAATAATTTCTTAACCTTAAAATCAAACTTAGACAACCGAATCGACATTATGTAAAAGCACTGTGTTTGGATTTAGTACAAAAATACTTTGAAATCTGCGGGAATATTGCACTGAATATTTCCAAGTTGTTTTCACAGGTGAAAGTATCACTCCTGTTTGTCCTGTGCATGTACGATTGTGGTAAACAAACTGACAAAACGAATTTCCGTAGTTGCCTTTGTCACAAGTCCCACCTGACGGATGATGACGCTTTGATCCACGGTTCATCCCCGTTTTAGAAACAAGGTCACCAGAAATAAACTCGGTAATGTAGAAAATTTCTCTTGTTAGTAGGAGCTGAGGCTAATTGCAGGTAAAAATCCAATTTCAATATTGTTAATATTAAAATTAATGCAATTTTAACGAGACAATTAAACGTTTGAATGCCAACATAATATTGAGCATTAGTAATATTATCTCAAATTTGCATTCATTTACGAACTCTCAAACAGTTTCGGAAAAGGAACAAGAAAGAAACCAGAGAAAAAAGTATGGATAAATACGAAATGGATTTCTTTTCGCTACTATTTTCAGACCCCAACTGCTCAGCATCTGATCATTAGATCAATCTAAATTGTATATATTATGTATTGTTACGAGAACATAAAAATGTTTTGGACATTTTGAAACTGATGGTGCCCGCATACTTTTCATGATTACTCTTAACTACGTAAATTAAAGTAGAATAGGGCTCGCCGCAATAAATAATGCTTTTTCTTTTCGAAATGAATAACATGCTTGCCAATTCAAAATTCATTTGAAAGTTTATTTTATTTTGAATCGGAAAGTCAAAAATACTAGGATCCAATATAGTATTCGCAATTTTTGAATAAATAAATTTCACTTTAGTTATTACGTTACTTCATGATTGAGGCCAATTCTTTCTTTATTCTGAAAAGACCACCAACCCACTTTTATGTTCCCATTGAATAAATTAAAAAGTCCTAAAATAACATACGCTAGCACTCTATAGTTCCTAGTATCCTACAGTTTGTGGGTATATATTACTATTATTATAAGTATATACATTACCTACAGGTGACATATGGTTTTCAAATTCGTTACCATAATAATGAGCGGACGAGTCTACTTCTACAGTCGTGCTAACTTCGTTAGGGTAAGCTGTGTTGGTAGGACCAGTAGGTATCGAGGTGACAAAATTGGGGTCGACATACTTCAGACTATCGGGCGACGATGACGACATAATATCGTCCCAGAATGCTTCTGAGTGAATCTCTTCTATGATAATTCCGTTTCCAAATAGATCCTTTGCAGCATCGGTTGCGGCGAATTGCTCGTTGTTATCCTTTGGTGGTGGCTTGGCACAATATTTGCTATCCATATCGTCGTTTGATATGTGAAATTCATCTGTAAGAAAAGCATGATTTAGTCAGGGACCGTATGCGGCATGTTGTATCTAAACTTAAATTCCTACGGGAAATTGATATACGAATTTCATCCAGGGCGCGAAATAACGGCCGGTCAACGGACAACGTCCGGCCAAGATGAGCATTTGTCCGGCCAAACTTTCTTGTGACCGGTCATTTTGACCGCCCATTTAATCGAAATTAATTTTCCGACAAGGGAGATTACTTAGTAATATTCCTTCATCTTCGTTTTTTCATCATTCTTAATAGAATTTACACCACAGTTCGATATCACATCGAAAATCTCGAACATTGTATGCTCTTATAAATATATATCTTAATCGCTCAATAACACGCCATTTTGAACTTTAGTAACAGTACGTCATGTTATCTGAACATTTTCGCTACCATGGAGGTTACCATCGCGAGAAGCTACTTTTGTTAGCTTACATTACCTCAGTCTATGAGTACACATATGAGAGCTAACAATAAAGAACTTTCTATTAGCTTTGACACGCGTCGTCATGCAGACATTACGATGCTACTAACAAGAATTTCGTTTTAATCTCGCACCACTTAACTTTACTCTTTCGCAATTTGCAGTTACGGCTTACCGTAAACCTGTTCGCTCATTTTTTTTCTTTTATACTTAGGCTAGTCAAAAAGCCACCCAAAAACTTTGTAGGTTTAGCTTTAGCAAAAAAGTTTGTCCGTCTAGAAATGCATGATGTCCGAGCAAAAATTGGTTTGCCCTGTCATCTTGACCGGTCCTTTCCTGTCGTTATTTCGCGCCCTGTTCATCCAGCCGACGGTGAAGTGGTTAATTATTAATGGTGAATAAACCAAGTCCAAGTGTTACAAAGTACAAACTACCAACTTTGGAATTTTAAATTTTTGGCATGTGTGCTGGTGAGCTATATTACATATTGGTAGGTCAATAGGGATTTCTAATTTCAAAAAGGTATATAATGCTAGGGGATGTTGCATTTAATAGCATTCTCAGTAACAAAATGATAAGAGCCTTAAAAAATAGTTAATATTTACCATATGGCACAAGTGACAGACATGAGAAAAAAATATCATGAAGTTTATACTGTCATTTGTGGAGACAACCCTTGGTGCCATTGTTTGCCCAATAGGGAAAATATCAAATCATATTCTCTGAAAAATTGCATTAGAACCATTGATAGGCTAACATTTAGTTGTGAATTCAGTTGTGAATCTAACTTGCACTTTGCTTGCAACTTCACTTACTTCAGTCACAATATGTTTGGAGCGGTTCTATCACAATCAGTCGTAGATTGAGTTTTTACCTGGCCTGGCCATGCTAGCTTTGATGGAATCAGCATGTTTCTTTTTCCATTTCTTAATTTCCTTAAACATCTGTTCTTTCTTTTCTGGCTTTAGAGTCCACAGGCATCCCTTCCTTTGAGAAGTGCCCTGGGGACGATCAAGTTTGCAAAAGGCTTTGTTTAGAGATAAGTTGTGGCGCACAGAGTTCTATGAAAATAATAACAGATTAAAATCAATAAAAAATATGAAATCTTATCTGAAAATATTCTGTATGTTAAAATGCACATTTTAAGTCAATGATGTCCTACTTATCACTCAGGCTGTATATAATGTTAAAACCAGAATAACTGATGTATATAATTACTGCATGTTGACCAGTTCACATCTGAAGAGACTGAGTTAATACTGAAAAACTTACATGAGCAGGAAAAACTTATACAAAGAAATGCAATGTTCACATGACACAGATTGACGAATGCACTTACAGCCAACAACCAGGCAAAGAAAATAGATTGAGATAAGAGGATATTTTTAAGGTATTATTTAATTAGTCGGACCAAAGGAGTACCAGACAGAATGTCTGAAAAAACAAGACAAAGATTACTTAGGGAATGATTTGTCAAGATAATGGATCTGATAATGATCTGATCTGGAATAGTTATTGCAAGAAAATGATATACTTTGTGTTTTAAATAATGACAAGAACAATTCTTTTTTATGTTAATTGCAAAACTTTCACCTTACATTAATAGACTCATCTTACTATCCAAGAAAAGGGAAAAGATTTACCAATTACTTTGATAATAGTCCATAACCCTATAGCCAATAATAATAATTACTGGCCAGTTTATAGAAACAATCATCAGGCAAATGATTACTATTCATTCAAGAGTAATCATTCGCCTGATGATCTTTCTTGTGAAACGTAAAAACAAAGTGTAGCAAACTATACATACATATACATATATATATATATATATATATATATATTTATATATATATATATATATATATATATATAGAGTTAAATTGTAGAAATTTATGTTTAAGATGTCTGTTTCTTAGCTAATTATTCTCCTGTATATATAATATAGGAATGTTCATATAAAGTGTTCATTACTGTCTTGGCACTCGCAACTAACAACACAACAATTGCTAATCCAGATGCCAAGAGAATGCCCTTATATGACTTGGCAGAGAAACCACTGTCAATTTTACCAAGGCTATAAAGCCAACTAAAAGACGCTCAAGTAATTAAATCAAACCAATAGTGAATATGTTATAGCTCTAGGCGTATAAGAGAAAACATTATCTCCCAGCACAATGCTGTTACAGGTGATAGAACCATGTAGTTTCTTTTCCTTTTCAATCTATTTTAATCCTAAACTTCAGTTTTAAAGTCATTGCCAGACAAAAACCAATCTAGTATTGGCAAACATTTATTTTAATTTCCTTTAAAAAATTAAAATTTGCTTTGGCTCTTCCAGATGAGCAACAAATGCAATTCAAAAATTAACTCCTTTGTTATGTCACAAAGAAAAGGAAACAGAAATATGAAAATGCAAAAAAGGCAACTACAGGTTCCCACCTGCCACATATTATTCAGAAAGCCTACATGTTTCTGAATAACAGCCAAACTATTTCGTACTTATTTTAAACAACTGAACTTTCGAAAAATCTTAGGCAGAGGGCAGAACTTCGTTAGTCTTCATAACTCTTTATTAGTGAAAGCACTTTATTTTTTGTCAAAAAGCAAAAGGTTTAAGTATTCTTTCTTCATTCACAACAGATTTAAATTATTCATTAACCGTCTTCACCTGTTGCGCTACTGAAATAAAGGAACTCCAAAAAACGGCTGAATCATGCTGAATTCTCCCTTTTCAAAGTCAAGCCCCAACTTAAATCATCGCTGTTATCATTTTCGTCGAAAATTGCGAGTATTTTTACAGTAACGCTTAAAAATTCAAGTCTAATTATTGACGAGCGGGTGTGGTTTATCATTAAAATATTCGGCTATTGTTCAAGTTTGAATTCTTTTGACGAAAAATATAGAAAGTTTGATGAAACAATTTATGTTCTTTCGTGCTTCGAGAACGCGGAATAAGCGAGTGTTTACTTTGCTACACAAAGGTCCATGAAAATTTGGCAGGTCCACATCTATTTAAAAGCGAAAGTCAAGCCATTTTCATTAAAAATCTTCCCAAATATAGATAGCCTTCAGTAAAACCGGTTAAGTACAGAATATATAACATAAAATAGGTTCCGGTTCAACAACATTTTGATTTTATAGAATGGGCAAATGTTGCGATTATGTGCATTAAAACAAATTCATTCGGCATGATTGAATTGAATGTTATCAGCGTGTGAGAATACTGCAATTGAATAAGGACGAATATATTTAGGTCATAATACTTTAAAAGCCCGACCTATTTCTGGTATAAAGGTCCTCGGCACTTGCTTTACTAATGACTTGCCGACAAAATACAAGTGCTTTCTTTTAATAGCGCTGAAAGAACCTGAAACTTTTATATGGCGGGAATTTCAACACAGTCAATGGCTGCCAAAAGCACTGGAGTAGAACGTTGAACCCACGCATATTCTGACAATGATTTAGCCATATCATTGTGAATACAGAATATAAAATTGTGGGAGTAAATGCTCGAATGAATATCCTACACAAATAGATTTGTATAGCGAAACTACTTCAGTTCTACGCATTAATTTAAAAATTATATTTCAAATACCGAATGTTCGTTCGGAAGCCATCACATAAAGGGCAAATGTCAACAACGGGTAGAATCAAATTTCAAATGGGATTCTACCTCGAAAACTTTGCTTTATGCAGAAGTATTTGATTTCAGAGATTATTTCATGTTTTTAAGATCGACGGAAGCCAGAAGAATTGTGCTTATAAACTAATAACACCCACAATAATTTTAGAACAAATTATTTGGCTCATTTAACCTACATTTGGCAAAGTGACAATATAAAATTGTGTAAAAAATTTCCGACTGTCTTGAAATATAAATTTATGCCCTTACCTTCCATCCGTCAGGTGCTGTTTTAAAATAAGGGAAATTCGATCTAAAACAAGTAAAGAAACCATAAATAAGCGAACAATGTATTGATGACTAAAGTTTGACAAAAATACCATAATATATAATGGCCAACTCACTGCATAAATTTGTATATTTCGCTGACAGGCAATGTTCCAGCATCGCTATCTTGCAAAGCCATAGCTATAAGACAGGAGTAACTAAATACAGGCTTAGGATAAGTCTTTTCTTTGTGATTTTTGTCATCTTTGGCTGATATCGGGATGTTTGTTGATTTCTTTGGCTTGTCCATAACTCGCCTTTGGGCTGCATGTTGTGGATGAATAGATTGAACTTGTACTGAATTCTGACTTGCCCATCCGTTCATATTTTGCACAGGCATTGCCGTATTGGGGTCGACCATAACACTGTCATGCAATTGCTGATTTACGGCTGTATTTTGATCCACAGGAATGGCCACATTCATATTTTGCAACCACTGCAGGTTGGTGAGATCCGCTGGTAAAGTGCCGTGAAATTTATCCGACTTCAGTTGCTGATGGAAGACTGCATCTGTATACTGACTGGGCTCAAAAGAAGGATCGTTGTAATTAATATCTAAGTCTTTAATGTCACAATCTACTAAATCGTGAATCGATATATCGCCGCCATGTTGGAAAGGGTGAGAGTATCCATTGTAGATATCCATTTTAGTCCTTCTTGTCAAAGCCTGCCTTCCTTCGAGTATTCACGTTTTTAAAAATATCCCACGAACTATGAATCAGTTTCCCCGTAATTATCCAACTTGAATTAAATATTCGTCGCTGATTGGTCGTCGTAATCGCAAGCTGTGAGCCTATTGGATAACGTCCAAAACAAGTTGTCAAGGTTATCTCCATAAAAGGTCATGTTACTACTTTTTGCCCTTAGCTCATCTCTGCGGTTTGAGCGATGTGATTAAATAGAACTATGTACGATTGTTCGTCACTTTCTAAATCCCCAAAACGGCCAAAAGTACAAGGCATTCGATATTTAATTCTAGGCAAAAATATACGTATTTTAGTTCTCATTGAATAATAATATCCCCGCCGATTCTCTTAGGGGGGATTTAGTGTCTATAATTTTCTTTGTCCACTATGCAAATGTATATCAATATTTCATACAATAACCGAAACATTAGCCCCACCCAGTATATGTATTTGCATAAGAATTGCTAGCTATTGAGCCGTATTTGGCTCTATGCCTAAATGAAAGACACCCGGTTATGCAGGTGTCTTTAGGTCCATATCAATTTATCTTCGAAAACTTTACAAGCGATTTCCGTTTAAATTTGAAATATGATTAATACCAACTATATATAGATAATATTTCATATCTAAATGTGAGGAAAACGCTCGTGCTTACAATGTTAGAGACGGGAGACCCAGCCACTTTTATTTTTTTTTTTCAAAACTCCAAATCATAATAATATTAATAGTGGGTTTTCCCTGAGCGCTGTGGACGGAGCCCTACGAAAAGTACATATCAGTCAATTCGGCATTGTACGAAATTGACAATTGTGTTCGAGCATACAGCATTATTCGTATAGTTTTCTTTTACTTTTCTATGTTAGCGAAGCGATAATTTCAACTTTTGGAATATAAAAACCTCATAAATTAATATTTCACAAAAGGATTTTCAATTTATACACATCAAATTATGCCGGATAAAGTATTCAAGAGACAGTCTTGACGTTCTACACAGGAACGAAGAAAGCGTCTATAACTTTGTAGCAAAGGAAGAAAATTGATATTGTTTTAGGCGAGGCGGTATTTCAAAGGAGAGAAAAAAGTCATTACCAGTTTAAAACTCATAACATGCAACAGGTTGTCGGCAGCCTGGCAGCTGGAAATAGCACAAAAGGCTTACTTATTTGCAGCATAAAATAAATACATTTTGCGTTTCGCTGTTGCAAACCATTGAAAAAAAAACTGCGATTAAACCACCAAAAATCGATATCGGTACATTTACGTTAGGATAAGAAAACACTGTTTTGCAGAGAAGTTTTTATGTTTGAAGTCAATTCAGGGCAGGTGACCTTTGAAAATATGAATTACAAATTTCTGTAAAACAAACTAAATATAATTGTGAAACGAATAGTCGACTGTTTTCTGACGATTAGACTAATTGATTCTCTTTCCTCTAAGGGACCCCGACAGCTTAGGCAGAAAAAGAAATTTAAATTTCTCATAGCTGACTCTTCAACAGCCAATACTTATAATGTTCCTAGGGGCTAGGTCTAGGGTGCTATTAAACTGCCTCTACCATTATTGGATCAGTAATGAATTTGAAACCGAATGAGAGAGTATTACCAGAGGCAGCCCAATGGCGAATGGTTTTATTTGAAATAAAAGTGCACTAAAACATTGAAAATTAGAACAAAGCTATCCGTATTTTGATTAAATTGAAACGTATCATTTATTCATGCTAACTAAAATCCTGTGTATTACGCAACGGGCGACTCGCGTGCCTGACAGTGTTCAGGCAATGTAGGCATTATATAGTATAATATATATGCCTACATTGCCTGAGCTTCAGACACCCCTGCTTTGTGGTTTGATTAAAGTGCCTATATCATGGTTGAAGATTTTAAATACATCAAAAGTTTAAGGTATTTTAAAAAACTTTGCAATTTTGTTATTGAAAAAAATTGGATTTAGTGGCCTTTAATCCCAGAACTCAAATAAGACTGGAACGCTCACTCTCTGACTTTCCCTCATTAATAGGTGAAGCCAAGATGGCGGACCATGTAGCCTTTTTTGTAGGTATGATCCAGGCCTCTGCCGCGGAAATTTCAAAGGGGAAATCATAATTGACCGTAACGAAAAAGATTGCGGCATGTACATTTTACCAGAACGCATTGCGGGAATTAAGAATGATTGACTGAAAAAAAGATAGCAAGAAAAACACCTAATGACGTGAAATTTTAACACAGCGAAGAAAATAACTTCCTGTTTTATGCCTGTCCTTTACAAGACGTCAGTTCGCTTTTTTAAACGATTTCCGACCACAATGCATTTTGGTAAAATGCACATCCGCCATCTTTTTTGTTATGGTCAATTGCCGCCATTTTACCTATAAAATCTCCGCGTGGAAGCCTGGATCATACATACAAGATTGGCTTCAAACTTCCTACAAAGTGAGAGTTCCGACCTTTTTTTCAGTTCACTGGAAATTCTCAATTGACATGACGTCCGATAACTTTTAAGTCCCAGCCTCGTACCCAGATGCTTTAATAGTCAATATATAACGTTGCATTCAACTATTGTATAAAGAGAAAAACTGAAAAAAGGCGAGCGCGCGGGGATGCTTGGGGTGCTTTTGTTTAGCTAACTTTGTCAAAACCACCCAAAGCACCCTCGCCTTTTTCAGCTGACTTCGATACGATAACTGAATGCAGCGTTATAATTTTCTATCCAGCGCCGGGTACGAGGCTGTTAAAGCCCAATAAATCCATCAAGATCATCCATCATAATTATATATTCAATCCATCATAATTATTTATTCAATTTTAATTTTATATGTATTCAAGTCACGTGATTAAAAAATCCAGGCCATCGTGTATTAGAGGTGATCCAAGCTATTAGTTTCAAAAATCTGTGATCAAAAAAGACCTAACAGAAAACGAGAAAAGCGTTATCATCAAAGAAATAGCTGAGGGTGACACCCAAATAATAACACCCAAAGCTATAGCTGAAAAAATAAGTCGCTATGTTGTGACCGTAAAAGATTTTTGCAAAATCCTTCTGAAGGCTGCTTTCCACTTACGCATTTTTTATACGCACGTACACGTACGGAAAATTTTAAATGCTTTTAAATTTTATTATTTAACATCTAGGTCAACTAATGCATACTAAAATATGCTTTCCACTATCGCGTTTTTTGCACGTACGTACACGCACGTAAAAGTTTAAAAACAGTGGAAAGCAGCCTAAGTGGAAAACAGCCTTAGGAAAAAATCTCGATTGTATCGTGGGGTTTTAAGATCAGTATCAAAGCGAGATATGAACCGATTGAGGAGGAGTGTCCATAAATCACCTGGATCAACAGGTGCAAGAATTTTTTATGGTGTACCAAATGTGACGAAAACAACCCGACACCGGTCTCCTTAGGAAGGTTGCACCTATCAAAGGTCCGGCTAAAACGCCTCGCCTGACCTCGAGATAATGGTCCAAAAGATATATAAAATCTGAAATAAAGTTTGTCCTATTCACTGGCGAATCAAGAGCAACGTTAGACGGTCCTGACGGCTGGGCGAAAGGGTGAGTTTAAACGGTGATGATCGACCCACGAAGATGAGGCGGAAACAAGGAGGTTGAGGCGTAATGATTTGGGGTGGTATTATTGGGGATGAGTTCGACGGTCCATTTCGTGTTCCTGAAGAAGTAAAACTGACATCCGTCACGTATTGCTAGTTTTTGAAGAATGTGTTTGAACCATGGCTGGATGACCTTCACAACTGAAGAAGATCATCTTTATGCATGACAACGCTCCGTCCATGCGGCAAAGGCTACAACAGCGTTTTTGAAATCTATCGGATTCATGAATGATAAGTGATAACCTGATGATTTGGCCTCCAAACTCCCCTGACTTAAATCCCATTGAGAACTTCTGGTCGATCATTAAACGCCAGGTTTATGCGGATGGGAAGCAGTATTCCTCCAAAAATGACCTGTGGATTCCATCCCTAAGTCAACCATTAAGAAACTCACAGATTCAGTGAACGACCGACTTTTTGATGTGATCAGACTTCACGGGGATCATGTCAACAAATAACTCACTCAATTCAATGAATGGAATCACTCCGTGTTCCATTTCTATCACGGTGTGAATTTCTAAACTTTTGTGTGTTAGTGTATCAACAACGAAAATAGATCAATATCAATAAAATATTAGGCAATGAACGATTTTCATTAACGCTGTCAATTCCCGACATGAAACTAATATCGTGTGCCGAAATAAGGGTGATATTTTCATCAATAGGACTTTTCTAATCTCAATTAAATTTTTTAGAAGGAATATTTGAGAAGTCATGCAACCTTGAATAGTTTCACGCTAGGATTGTGTAAGTTTAAAACCATTGTATGAAAATTTCTATTTGAACTATAATTATCGTGGTTCGCAGTGTACATGTCGTTACGCCACTGCCTCTATCCTAAAGGAATGCAGACGACAAGTAAGAAATATATTTTATTTATTATCATTACCAACGACTTAAAAAGTCATGGTCTATTCATTTGTCTGTTTGATTCCGGAACTTTAGTCTCGTTAACAGGAAATCAATGTATTTAACTTCCAGCATTTGCCATTCCTTGAGGTTCATATTTGTACACCTAGTACTATATATGTGAAAACGACATGATCACGACAATTACGACAAAATAGAAACCAGGATTCATAAGAAATGTGAAATGGTGAACTCTCATGGAAGCCTTTATTAGGTATAGTAATAATATCAACCTTGAATGTTATAACCTTAATACTAGAATGGCAAAATGCTGGCAGCTGTTATTATTGATTATCACGTTCTACGCGGTATTTCTCTGCGGGAACTATTTCTAGCCATTTCAATTTTATTCTGTGAGTGAAGATTTGATGAATAGAACTTATCTGTCGTCTGGGAACCGAAATCTGTGGGAAACTTTGAATTGAGAGGTCCTATGTTAGTTTGTGGAGTTCCTGGCTCTGTTCTCCCGTAGATTCCCAACACTGCATCATCGTGGAAATCTGTCATCAACTATAGAAGAATAAGGTATATATTGTAATATAATATAGAGTTTAAAAAGGACATATTCCCGAGGGGCTTTTCCTCTTGGTCAAGAAGCGACAAAATACGTGTGTGGACCGGGCAGCGTAAAAAACTTTAAGAAACAGAGACACAGTATAAAACAAGGTTGGTTTTAGGCCAATTCTCAGAGTAAGAAGGAACGTTCTTGTCACTAAGCTATTGACCTTACCCTAGATGTATCCTTACTCGTATGTCCCATCCGGTGATTACCAACACCGCCTAAGTGACAAAAATACCCATTTTATACTCCATTTCGAAAAATATATGGATTCATGTTCATTGCTTAAAAATCGGTATAGACGATGATCAAATGAAACTGAGGTGTTGTGCACCACGGAGTATGGAACACGTTATAGATTGCTAACATTACGTATCGTAATTTTCAAATATCAACAAATATAATACTCTAAGAAAATTTTAAACCACAAAAACAGATAGGAAACATCACTTTAATAAGTTTATCACGAATTTCGATTTCGATTCTTTTTAATTGCACAGGGCAATTTTGCAAGTTTAAAATGCAATATCTGCGTGATACTATAACTACCTTAGTATTAAAATAACGTTTGCATGTAGAACAACTCTACTCAGCAGTGGCTTTTGAAACTAAGTATTAAAAACAAATTTTAATTATACTCCTTCAAACACACAGTAACAGATTTTGAGCCGCCCAAACAGATGGCGTCGAGCGGGCAAATTCTCAAGATTATAATCTCTGGAGAGCCAAACGCCTTTTTTAGTGTTATGTCTAACCATTTTCAATTTACGATTCATCTTGTATTGAGGAGTACCCAGGGGCCGGTTGTATGAAAGCCGGAAAGCGCTTGCTGCAAAACATGCAACTTTAAGGAGGAGACTTTTCGGGGGCCGACTGCTCGATTATTGGGTGGGTTGGTCACATCCCTACGCCCCCCCCCCTCCTTTGCTTTCCAGTGTAAATTGTAGACATCTAAAACCATGACTTGCGCAATTTTGTTATGATTATAAACACGAAGGATACAGGTAAATATTAGCAACGTTACGAGTGCTAGACTTTCATTAAACTCTCGCAAGAATTGTATTTGTATAAAACACAGGAAAGTTAATCCTCGGACTTCCCCCATGCTGAAAACTATGTTTCACAGAGACCATCTTACCATGAGAAATGTGATATCCTGGCGTTGGATTTCTGACGGCGAGAAATGAGTTATTTGGTGACTCGAAACCTGGTGGGGGTCGCATATGACGACCTACGCAAACGAAACACAAGGGTTATTATACACTGTACCGTAAATCACTACAATTTTTTTCTTATTCGCTTTTGAGAAGGTAAGTGGAATATAGACTGTTTTTATCTTGAAGTCTCATGAGAATACTTATCGAGGAATCAGGAATTTATAATGAGGTGTTTTGACGATGAGAAATCCGGAATTTTAATTCTGCTAGCAAAGTAAGCATACCGCATGCTTTCGTCAACTGCAGTTCACACAGATTTAACAGCTTGGACGATTTATCTGCAGATTAGGGATTTAAGGATTTGGAAAGACAGTAAGGATATTCTTTGTGGCCAATGAATGTTAAAGAAGTATAGCGGACTGAATGCCGAACCACCAAACACTAGCTTACTAATTACCCTCATGTATCTGGGTGTTAGAGGTACTGCAAGGTTTGAAACCATGTTGACTGTTAAATAACAGAGAATTTGAGCCATTTGCATCTCCAGGATGCCATTGGTAAGGAGAAAATGTGTCTAAAATAGATGTCAAAATAGCACCTTAAATTTAGTCGTTTAGACAATTACATGACACAACCCAACTACAGTCGTTGTAACCGACACATAAAGTTCCTTCAAACACGAATCCCCGCACAAGGAAATACGAAATGACACAACAGCGCCGACATCACGTTATATAACCTAGCTTGCTAACAATAAGACAACTGATGCCTTGCTAACCTGCGAAACTTATATTAATGTTCGGTAGAAGCGCCTGTAAACCAGCTTTCCAATTCCTTAGGAATTCCTACAATTGCAAAAATGGTATGATTAATTAACCACTACAACGAGATGCTAATAATTTACTGTGTGTAAGAGGGGGTGATGCATGGTTCAGTGTGATTGTTGGATGAGGGAACAAGATCGAGACTTTAAGATCGTTGTTCAATTGTTTCATGCAAAAGAAGAATAATCGGTTTACGGCAAGCGTTAGAATAAGAGAAACGCCTATATTGTGTTTGTAGTTCAACGTGGACACACTTTGATCATGATTTTCTAGGGAAGATAAGTCTAAACAGCTGTAAAAGGCATACCATTTCCTCTACAGTGGGCAAACAGTTTGATGGTGGAGGTGGAAGAGAACTACGAGATCCAGGAATAATTCCATGGTTTGCAAACTGTGGCGTGGCATTGACGTTTGATTGGTCGGAATAATTAACAGTTTCTTCGTTGATAAGATTCTCTAAGCCCTTGTGTGATTCGTTCCAAGGATCGAATCCTACGAAATTGTTAGAATATTGGAGTCGAAATATCTAAAATATTTTATATAATAACGTAAAGAATTCAAGCAATTTCATTGGTCGAGAGCCATGATCTATAAGAGGACAGACGCACGGAATGACGTCACAGCAATTTTCTTGTTTTTAAATTGTAAACAAATAATTCAATTAATTTTGGATTTTTTTCAGTCGGCGGCTCGTGGCCACTTTTTTTGTTCTTTTTTGTTCTTATCACATATGACGTCATACCGTGTATCTATAACTGAACAGACAACGGTTCATTGTAATCTATTTGTTAATTAGAGCACCAATGGGATTCGACTGTTTGATAAAAATACGAGTATCGTTATCGTTGATCATTCGATAAGAAAAGCTATGCCAATCTGAAACGTCGAATTATTTTCACTACCGCGAAAAAACCGCTTTCAGTTTTATGGATTGCCTTGTAAAATATAGAATTGTTAGCAATCATAACGCAATTCGCTTATAGATTTAAACAGTATAAGCACTGAGAAGCATGGCGATACCTCCCGGTAATGACAATCACAACCCCCCTTCATTTCCATAATAACTTGCAATATTAAAAATTGGTCAGAATGCTTTGTCCTCGGTCAAAAAATACAACATCAAAATCAGATGAATTCTTCGAATATGCAACACATGATGGATTATTTCGGTGGGCATAACTATTGAAATTACTCAGGTCATACAGGTATATCAATCCTGACTCATTCCACACGCCCCTCTGAGTGCCGAAACATTTGAGGACAACCCCGCTGAAACATGTCTGACGGCAACACGACGACGACGCGGCCGAAACACTCTAAAACACTTTACATAAACGTTATGGTAAAGAGTCGTTGTTTATTATCAATCGTATGAGGTACACTATAAGACTTGTAAACATTGCATTCATGTTTAGGGATAATTCTACAGAGCCTAAATTGAAGAAGCACTCCCTGGGTCTAGAAATGCCGGCATTCTACACAGGACGTGGACACTTTAGGTTTGTAGTTGTAAACAAAACGACGTCTAAAACTTTAATAGGACTTCAATTAATCCATTGTAAATTGTAATATGATAGTTGCCGTCGTCGTGTTCCCGTCCTTTATGCTTAGGGTCCCTACTTATCCAAAATGGTTAATGAACCGACAATTTAGACAGCCATATATCCCTGCTTCAATTAAATGAAGATAATATGCAGTTCATACCCAAATCATCTTCTGATTGTAAACCGCCACCTTCAATATGTAAATTAGACAAACCCAGTCCTGCAGTTAAATCTGAAGTGATAGGTTTTATGTCACTATAAAATGAGAGAAAAACTGTTATATATTATCATAATTAAGCTATACTTTCCTATACAGCTGCCCGGAAATAATTGAATGACAAATCGCACGCGTCTGATGGAAACAATTCTAAATGGTATTTCGGTAAAAACACCTCAAACACTTTAATCAACGAGTTTACGCTGAGATTTAAATTCCTGTGCACAAGCAGTGAATTAATGCAATCGCATTTATAAATTATGTAACTTGAAGGTTGGCAAATAGTATATGTATCAGGGGGGAAGAGGTAATCTTCCCCTAGCCCCAAGCTGACGCAGGTAGATATGATAGAATGGGGGTAGACGGGTGTCCATGAAAAAAAGCTCCCCAAAATTAATTTGGGGCTCAGGTCCCGGAAATGTCTTAAAGGGCTCTGTAGATTTTTGATTAATCATTTTTTGTTGAAGAGTGACATTTCTAATCAGGAGTAGTTTTGCTAAAAAATATTCAAAAATTTCCTAAAAATATTAAATACTCACCCTAAACCTCGATACGGGGAAACAAACGGATCTACAAAACACAGAACGATAAAAATCAACAACCTTTATACTGTGAAATCAAGAAAAGATTGCACTAAAAATGCAGTTTGATTCTTGTCAGAAGATGCTCCTATAGACGACTTCGCAACGTTCAAAATTGAGTCTGTGATTTGTTAGTTAACAATCTGCAAATAAATTTAAGCTACAGTAGTTCTGATATTCACAAACCTGTGGTATGTCCAAGCGCCCCAGACGTGGTAGCTCTTTGCTCGGCGCCTATTGGTCTTAAACTGTTAGGACTGGTGCGTGTTGTTATTTCATCATCCCAAGATTCGTACTGTTGTTCATTGATATCCCTCCTATCCCCAGTTAGTGCTTGGTGTCCTGGAGGGGGACTACCTCCATTCATTCTTAGAAAAAAAACTCAATTTTTTTGCAAAGATACGATGTGACTTTTTCCCGCTAAAACTTTGCTCGTGTGATACTGTTACAACAGTATGACACAAAATAACGGAAATAACCGATTACCAGAAAATAAATTCAGGCATATGTGAACTAGAAATGAAAAATCATGCCGGCAGGACGGCTAGATTATAAATGGTGGCAATTACGAGAGGAACCTCTCTCTCGGGACGATTTAGAGAAAAAGCGATACTAGCACTGCACAAAATCCTGTATAGTTAGAAGCTCTAATTTGCAAGAGTCTTTTGATTATGGCATTAGACACGCCCATACAGTTATACTTGGCCCTTCCAAAGCCGCGACAACTCGTGCATGGAAATGAATTTATCGAATTAAGCAAAAATACATACAGTTTTGTTTGACTTTGAACTTCGTTCTGCCCACATTCTGGTTCTAGAAACACAGAGTTGTAGCCTTAAAATACTGACTTGCCATTTTCTTGATCATTTGAGGCTTTCTTGTCTTTTGTTTCAGTCATTCGGTTCGGCTAATGTACTGCGGTTGGAACTATGTTAATGGGGTCAGGGGTAACTATATATAGTACTCCCTTCTAGTCATTGAAAAGGACTCAACTTAACAGACCTGAAGATTCGTCCAGGGAACTCGACGGCCATCTTTCATTTCCTTCCTGGTAAACAAGAAAGTGCATTAGTAATGCTTTTTATAAATCCGGTTTAAAGAAGCACATTATCTATCACGACAAATTATTTTAGACCGCTTGAATGAGACAAAAAACCATTGAATGATTGCTGTTCAAAATTAGATAAACCTGGATTGCGAATACCGTTAGGTACACAGAGGTTTAAGGCCAACCCAGACCGGACGCGATGCGGCAACGCGGCGCGATTTTTCAAGTTTTTGATTTTCCAAAAGCAAATAAATTTTAAACTATCATAATACTCTTGTAGATTACTTAACAATAATACATTTTGACTGCTCTGGCGTCCACAGCTTCCAAATTTTGCTTCCAGAAATTAACTTATGTACTTCTGAAAACTGAAAATTCGCGTCGCGTTGCCGCATCGCGTCCGGTCTGTGTCGACCTTTATCTTGTATATTTGTAAGCGTCGCTTCAAATGAACATATTACGGTATCTTTAAAAAACCGTTTGGACCATACTTCAGAATTTTCTAGATTTGCAATGCACTGTAGGTAAACCATTCATCCAACTCTGGAATTTCTATTTTCAGACTTTCTTGTAGGTCAAATACTTCAACACAAATAGATACAAAGCTACCTTAGTATAAACCGAGTTAAATTTGCCTTGTGTGTTACAGGGCAATAACTGCTTGTCCGGGTAATTACAACGCATGAAGAAATCTGATGGCAACTAAAGCTAAGACTAACATATAGCTGCAAGTATATCCTAATTGGGAAGCAACCCAAAACTAAGGAGGCGAGGTATTTTGTCGCATTAACGCTCTTCTATTGGAATGATGCCATGTTCCAACGATTTAACTGGAGGAGAAAGGTGATGGGGTTTGTCGAGGCAATTGACCACTAATTTTGAGGAAAAGGAGCATTCGTAGCAATACCTTACGATTTATGACAGCAAGCGACAACAGCAACCGGAACACCGAAATGAATAATAAATGCATAATAATGTTGTCCGCTGATTCTTACGTCTCGTGACAACAACTAGGGTTTCTTTTTGTTTTCAATTGGGATTGGGGTTAGAATCGGCCGTTTTCGTTGTTTTGCCGTCCTAAATCACATGTCATTTGCCATGAAAACTTTCGCGGTTCTTATTTACCTAATTACCCTAATATCTGCGTCTTTGCCAGTGGAATGTAATGCCACTGGTATTAATCGCGCTACGAAGCTTCACTATACTTTCTTAGAAAGTACGCACTTATACCATGCGTCAAGATTTTTAGTTTAGTTCTTACAGCTTAAAAAATAGTTGCAATTAACAGCATTTTTGGGCGAAAAAAAGTAAATTTTGTCACAACAAACAGATTTTTAGAGGCACCTTCACAAGTTGCATGGTTAAAGCGAACATAAAGAGAGACCGGTCGCAAATCTTATAAAAGGAGATGCGGGAAAACCTTGAAATTTATCCGCAACTTATGAATATAACTAAGAAGTAGAGTAAAGTAAAATTTTGAATTATTTCATGGATTGAATATTTAGCATAATGGATGATGATCGAATTTTGGAAGATCGCTCAATCAAAGAAAGAGCGGTAATAAAGAGATCTTTCTACTATTTGGTCAGATGAAAATCTCGTGCTACGCATTTACAGTAGTTGTGAACAGCATATTTTCAGCAAGTAGACCCTGGGGTCTGGGGTTGCCAGGATCCCTATACCAAAACGCCTAAAAGGTTGCACTTCTTGGCTAGGTCTTGAGGTGTTTTTAAATTGAGCTTTGCAACTGACGCCATAGTCCTTATTTGTGGCTTTCAATCACTCTGGGTGGCAAATTAGACACATGCAGTTATTGTAAAACAAAGCAAATATAGAAAATAACTGAGGTTGTAGCACTGCAGGTGGCTTACAATTTGCCCATTATTTAACAAGAGTCGCAACGTTCCCGAAAGGGGGGGGGGAGTTAGCATAAGCTTAACAAAAAATAACCCAAGAGGGCGGACTATTCATGCATGTTACGTCATTTTGCTAGAGCATAATGTCTATACAGGTTCACGCTGGAACTCTCCACGCAAACATCATGGAAAGTCAAAAACACGACTATGTGATTGCGCATGATTAACACTTACATTCTCTTACAAGATCCTTACAATGCAAACTACATACAGTTAAGATTCATACCACACGGTAATTGTCTTATACTACAGGGTGCATCAAAAAATGTTTGAAACAAATAAGGTTTGGCTTTATAATGCAGTTGACGGTATTAAAAAATGAAAGTCAATTTGGAATTCATGTCGCTCAGGCATTTAAATTATAACTATAAAGTCCAAAGGTAAGCTTTTCTGATACACCCTTTACATAATAACAGAATCATTATGGAATCAATGTAATCATATATAACTCACAGTCTCCTGAGTAAAACACACTTGAGTTACACACAACACACAACAAAAAACGCGAGCATGTTCCGTGGTCTCTACTTTACTAAAACTCGGCATACGATTCCGTACTTTCTGGTACTTACGTTTGAAATTTTTCTAAAAAACAAAAAAAAATTTGTATAGTTTTTAACCTACATTATGCCTTACTATCTGATAAAATTGCCTGCAAGTGGCATTTTGAGTCGTCTCTTTTGTCTTAGGTATTCTTACAGAGCAAGAGACAAGCTATATAGTTAGCGATATACCGTATCTTTCTTGAAGATAAAGAGGAAAAAAGGCAACAAAAAACATCTGTCGACTCATTGATTAATTTGCCAGCTCAAATTTCAGATTAATTTTAAAGCAACCGAAGTAGCAATACCTTTTCTGTTCGTATTTGTTTAGCAACATCTGTTCGTATTCAATATGTTTCCTAGAAGATCCATACCAGAAAAATATTTGGGAGAATACTACCATGCTCGGTGGTTAAAGAGGAGGAATGAGAAGGGTCCCAAGATGAAAACAGGTCTGAACAAGGTTGTGCTGTACCCTACGAACATGGTTGTTTTCAAGTTGCAGCCACTTGGTGAAGCTTAACAATAAGATGTCGCAATCTAATAACAACCATGTTTCTGGTGTGCAGAACAACATTGTTACTGTTTTCATAAACCGGAAACAACCTGATCAACGTTTACGCGTGTACGAAGGAATGTAATATTATTTTTCCAGGCCTTAAAATATCGGTCGGTCACGGACATTGTCCGACCCATTCGTGAAATTGTCCGACGTAAAGAGAAAAGCACCGGACATTCTGTCCGACCGAAGAAAAATTACGATTTATTGTTTGTCCGACCGAAGTGTATTGGTGTCGGCCAGATTTTAACTTTGTCTGACGTAAATGTATCCCGTAATGTAGCACTTCTAGGCGGCATACGATTCGTTTCAGTTGGCGCAACTTTTAGTTTTCGGAATTTCTCAAAGTGTTATTGTTCTACTTCTGTTTTGGCAAGCGTGGTTACAATCTTAAACGAATACATTTTCGCGCCAAACTAAACATAAAGCCATCCGACATAAAATTAAAAATGTCCGACCCATTCTGAAAGGCACCGGACATTTTGGCGGACGACACTGCTGACCGATATTTTAAGGCCTGTGTTTCTATTGCATCTTTCTGTGTTTCTGCAAATAACATGATTGAAAGCCCGTAAGGCGAATACTGATCAATACTGTTTTGAAAATAACGTTGAAATAGTTTACAAGATCTTGTTTTCACAAGATATTTCGTATATTTCATCAAATGGTCTGCTGGCAATGATTTTATCCGGATAATCAATACAATGCACGCTATCTTGAAAAAAACGACCAACACTAGCTCCAGTAACATAACTAATTGACCATGCAGGCATTATGAAAACATACCCTGCTTGCATTTCTTCTTTTGTAAAACTAGCACCATCGTTATCCAACGCATGTAAGTACATGCAATCCTAAAAAAACAGTAAAAATTTTTCAAACATTAAATTAAGACGTAAAGTGACCATATATACTTGTCCCCTATACCTAGACAAGAGTTTAGTGGCTGAAATGACCATCCTTGCCCTTATTCCTCGACAGGGGTTTTGTTAAACTGACCATCCTTGCCCTTATTCCTAGACAAGGTTTTGCTGAAGTGACCATCCTCTATTCCCAGATAAAAGTGTATATGTTCCCCTATTCCTAGACAAGAGTGTACATGTCTTTGATTGTGTTTACATTACTTACTGTTTTAGGACAGTTCGTATTTTTTAGAAAATTTGTACAATATTTTGTCGTTCCAAGAGATGCTCTAAAACGTAGAAATAGCATCCTCAAATTTATCTCGTGATATGCGATCAGACATAAATAAATTGCACACAATACTTTAATAGCAACAATGAATGGTTATTTCTCACTTCAAAGCTCTGCCATCCAAGAAAATATCGTTGACTGCACGAATAGCTTCGAAGGCATCCTATATATGAATAAATGAAGACGTAACACCTGAAAGTCGGCTTAATATTGCACTTATTATTTTATATATTTATGGTTAATAGAAATAGACTTCATACCTATCGTTAATAGAAATACTTGGGAACGTCGGTAAACTTTAAATACTTTTCAAATTTTTCAACTGTTTAAAGCTAATTATACAATATTTAAGGCTAATTTCCTCATTTTTCCCTCGTATAAATCTCACAGTAACTTTCAATACAGTGGTGGCGTTAACACTAATTTAATTAATTTAATAACGTAATATATTTGTCAAGAATTATACCTCTTCGTCTTGATATGTGATATAAGCACTTGCACTTGGTCCCTAGAAAAAATATCCCAACATATTATTTTCTTTGTTCACCACGTGTTATATACACGTCTTTAGCAGAACAAGTACGATCGTACTATAGTGGACCAGGAACTGCGTGACCGAGTTTCTGAACTGCATTGTATTTACAACAATAGAGAGGACAATGTATTTCTAATCGTTTGCGTTTACTTATATATAGGCTGAATATTAATGATATATAGGCTGAATATTAATTATATGTATATATTATTTGCTGCACATATGGTCAAGAATTGCTTGTAACTTGCTTCAACAGTCAAAAGTAAAAATTCGAACTCCGTCAATCGATGCGGAATAATGCTCAGAATAATTGTGCCAAGTTTCATTCCGATCAAACAAGTAATGATAGAGCCTTAGGGTTTTTTTAAAGAGCGTCACTCCCTAACAACAACAACAACAACAACAACAACAAAATGATTAGCAGCGGTTAGAGACCAGTTCCTGGTCCAAAAATCTATTACAATGAAGCTGCCACCAGGGCGGTTAACTAAAATTTACGTAACAGCTAAATTTATTGATTAATATCTAGTCGCATAATGTTTGAGTTTGAGACTATATGAAAAGAGCATACACTCTCTCTCTGCAATTCTTGAAAAAGTTTTTAAAGAAGGGTAAAGCCCGTATAACGTTAAGAAACGCTTCATTAACATTATGAATCTCTATATTCCTTAAAAATAGCAAGAACTGACAAAATATTTTACACTACTTCGGTTTTATATTTACTCCTATAAAATATGAACTTACTGCGAATATAACGAACCAGTTTAAATCAATCAAGTAGCCTAATCATTGTTATGAACCCTCCTTTCCTCAAATAATGCGCACTCGAAAAGTATTCTCGTCCTATTAAATTAAGGTTTGCTCACACGATTTAATTTTGTTGGATTGGATTCACTTTTGATAGATGTTTTATATATTGATATATTCAGACATGCAGCAAATCCACTGAAGCCAACGCAGTAATGTTTTTTAGCACACTACATTCTATAAGTCAGAAGGGAATTTTGCACCTGAGAAAATTGGGTCGTGTGCATGAACAGACATCTAATTTGAGAAACATGTATAAACTGTGCAGCAAACTTGCTTGGGTAGCACTTTCCCATCAACTATAATCCTCCGTTGCATCGCCTTAGCGTTGACTACGTATACCATACATAGGCCCAAAAATACACGTGCGCCATCAATGTTAATAATTCTACACACGTAAAAACGCACAAGTTGTAACAAGTCTGCAGCAGACTTGTAGCAAGCTTGTTCCAACAAGCCGATATCAGGTTGTGTTCGCACTGCTTGTCCCAAGCTTGTTGTGACGGACTTGTAGCAAGTTGTTGTCAGACTTGTAGCAAGTTTGTTGTGACAATGCTGTACCAAGGTTGTTGCCAACAAGCTTGCTACAAGTCTGACAACAACTTGCTACAAGCTTGTTGAACTTGAGCTGTTCCAAGCTTGTTATAACAAGGCCGTTACAAGCTTGTCGCGACAAGCTTGCTGCAAACATGGCCGCGCATTAAATCTCGCTTGAAAACACGCGTGTTTTCCCGGAGATTGTGAAACAAAGAACAAACAACACAAAGTTTGATGTAAAAATCATATTATTTTAAAAACAAATTCTAAGGTTAGCAATTAAATACAAACTTCACATTTGAAGTACCAAGATTACTAAAGGCTCAGTACAAGAACATATGTATTTTCCTTTCTGAGTATATAGCCTAATAATTAAAATTAACTGGTGCATGAATATTCTTGTATAATACCAGTATTTCAGTCACTTGTTGAATTGACTTCGTCATCCCAAAAATCAACAGCTAGCTGCACCTCTTTCCTATAATTCACTTTGTTTGATACGACTTTCCGGCCAATACCTCAGTTTAGCTCCAGTTTGATAATCAAATTCCTATAAAGTATAATATACAATGGCTTCAGGAATCAGTTACTTTAAAAAATATGCAAATATTTTTGAGGAAACTGGTTTGCAAATACGTTGAGGAAACTCCATCCTGTCTCCTGTGGCGAGGGTCTTGCTTGCCATCCAAGTCTAATGTCAAATAAGTAATGTACAAATACTTTATTACCATAATACGTAAATATATATTATTATTTCTAATCAGAGCATGCTAAAAACATACGCACAGATATTAAAAATAGGAAATTTTGCACTTTACCGTACACCTACTCGTCATTAAAAATATTTGAATTATTGAATACAAAAAACCGGCAAAGTTTCGATTTTGATAAATATCCACAGAAACTAACAGTTCAATGTTTATAAAAAGCAATAAATTCAACAAATATTTTTAAAGGCTAGCTTGTGTACTATAATAAATTGTGTTGCCGGCGTTGTGTACGCCATATCAAATATTGGGATGAATTAAACGCACATACCTTGATTAAAACGTCGAACTGTAGTATTCTTCAAACGTTTTTAAGTTGCCCATCCGTTTTAACTGATATTTCAACGTTTATTAAACTTTTAAAGGCTTAAAAAATCAAAGGTTTTGGCACAAAGATAGCTCAATGACCAGGTGAATCAGTGAACTCTTGAAAAGAGCAGGGAAATTTGCAAATATACTGACGTATATTTCAACCAATAAGATCACTTATACATAGTTTAAACAGAGTCTGAACCAATGAGATTACTCCGTTGAAATCGTCACTTCCTCAACGGTTCAACGGTTATAGATATCCTTGAAACAAGGAAATGTTCATCTGTAATGTTTTCAAGGAATTCGGATTCTTTTCAAATCTTATTACTAAAAGAAGTTATGAACTTCGTTGCAGAGTGTTAAAGTGTTTAAAAGCTCGTTGATCTTGCTTTTGCCATTTGATGAATGGCAATGATCAATAAAATCATATTTGGCCCAGTTCAAATTGATTTTGTTGTTATCGGAAAACTTTTGCCGTTAACAATGTCGCTACAACTTGTTGGAACTGTCTTGTTACAGCATTGTCACGCGCAGCCTTCGTACAAGCTTGTTGTGACAGGCTTGTTACAACTTGATGACTATAACAACTTGTCAACAAGTTGCTCCAACAAGCTTGGTACAGCTTGTTGTCGACAAGCTTGGAACAAGTTGTTCCAACAACTTGCTACAAGTCTGCAAGCCAACAAGTTGTAGCAAGCTTGATGTCAACAAGCTTGCTACAACCTGTTGTCTCAACAAGCTTGTTACAACTTGTCAACAAGCTTGCTACAAGCTTGTTGAGCCAACAAGTTGTCAACAAGATGTGAGATTTTTAGGTGTGTATATGAACAATGCTTTATCCATATATACGTACATATAGGATGATAAACATAAATGGCACAGGCGCATTTTTGGGCTGCCTACGAGTAGGTTATACATCTCGAAAACGCGGCTGGTGTTAAAACCAAATTGTTGGAAACTTTAAAGATTCAACTCGCCTGGGGACCAGCGTAATTTGTACTGGAGTTGATTGCAATTTTGTGAATTTTTCCAAATTTCCCAAAATATTCTTGTGAGGAGAGAAGCTAAAAGACATCAATAAGCACAATAAGATAAGAGGATGAAATCGACATCCACTCTACAAAAATCCTTTAGAAAAGCCTGACACTTTTGGAGGAAGGGTGGAATGACTATAATGCTTTATTAGTTCTTTCTTCTACTTATCAAAATACATCCTTATTAAAACTTTATTCTACACATTCATACATCAGCGAATGTTACTAAATAAACACACGATTTAGCTATCAGCAGAATGAGCAAAAGTCTTTCTCACTCGCGTACAACTATAATTAGAGAGCTTTAGATTTGACTACGACTCCCGCCACCGCTACGAGATTCGTCACATTGACGTGATATTCGTGATACTTCGTACTGACGCCATAGACTCGTAGCCGTCGCTTATCTGACTACGGCATTTCAAGAAAACTTCGTAGTCCTCACTACGTGATTTAAAAAGCAATGAAAGTTTACATTTTCTCGTTTTTTTCCAGAAAATAATTTAAGAGAACTGTTTTTCGTGACCGTGACGTTTGATTATGTGTATTTTTCGAAATAGTATAGGCGTAAAATTTCCAAAATAGTTGACAGGATAAACATGCATTTATTATTGTGTTTCCAGAGTTTTATCATTCAAGTACGAGGTGGCGTATGCATACAACGTTTGTTTCGCGCCACAGTGACGAATCTCGTAGCCGTAGTCAAATCTAAAGCTCTCCATTATATGTCGTAATTTGTACCGGGTAATTAGGCTTTATTATATAATTTGTACTACGTAATTAGGCTTTTATACTTAAGTGGATAAAATCGTATTCGAAAATGGTGTTCAATTATTTGAGTAGGGCTAATCTGAGCCGAGTTGGCAGATGCTTGAATACATTCCACTGGGTGAGGTAGAGTATCTTGCAGAAACGTTTTTCCCAAAAGTACGTACCTCTGCATTTGCCAGACGAGTTGAGAGTCCAACAATGAAGACCAGACTCTTCTGTACCACCCTAAAAATAAACAATTACTTACATTTAAACACAGACACGTAAGTTGAAATAGTTGATAATATTACAGTTTGTGAGAGGACTTAGCTACATACTGTACCTACTCTAAATATTTAATCCATTATATGTATGTGTTGAAAGTTTGCCTTTCTTAGTTTATTTTTTAAAAGTTGTCCTACTTACTCTGCAATAGTCATGAAAAGTCTAAGGATATTATAGGGCCCGCATTAAATGATGCAGTCAATTTTTATTATTTTAGCAGCTGGCAAAATCCTGATCTTTCCTTGGTGCGACAAAGGCTCCCTTAATTTAGTTGAAAAGTAAAAATCAAAATATATACCTGACATTTGCCAAGTGACTTCTGTTTTCAAAAGGTTTCTGTTTTTTCTGACATTCTTTTTGTTTCCTTGCTTTTAGAATTCTTTGAATTCTACAAACATCCAATCATTTCTCTTGTTTAAATTTTTACTAGAAACCTATACATGTCTAGCATCTATAAATTAATAGTCTTCAATTCAAACATTATTAGTTGACAATTTTACTTGTCAGTCAAAGATATTTTTTAACTTCAATCCTCCAATTAAAATTAAGAAGTTCACGCCAACCTTTGAATCATGCAAGTCATGAATGTAATCTGGATGATTACCAGTTTCATTATTTAAAACCAGAGTAAGGAACATAGCGATGGACTTCAACCCTGTGCTATTCTTTTAATAAAGATTGAGTTTTTTTGTAAGCAAGAGCTCGATTTGGGAAACCTGTCTAACAAAGCTATATATACTTATTTAGCCTGTATACAGTACGGTACTAGTGTATCTACATAATGCAAAATATTTAAATGACTTTCATCAAATGTGGTGTAACAGCTGTCTAGAATAGAAAAAGACACTTTCTGACATTTTGACCTAATGCCCTTCACCAAGAAGGTTTGTATGAAAGAAAATGTGGGAAAGAAAACATTTTTAATGAGGGCAAAAAATATGTGATAAAAATGGGAATACCATTAAATTACAAAAAAGATGCCTCATGGCAAAATAGCAAATAGCCAGCACTCAAGGAGGCCTGATTTACAAAAAGAACTATATTCCGACTTGTTTTTATGAGACCAAAGAAATGGTGATTCATTTTACAGAGAAAGAAGTGACCTAAACAAAAGTCAGTCTTTCGTTCATGCAAGAAGGATGAAGAATGCCAAGGCTATTGCTATGACTGGAGGTTGGAAAGAGGGCTGGAATTTCATATCCAAGACAGGCAGTTGTTATACCACATTCGATGAAATGTGGTTAGACCAGATTTAATCGCAATTCGTGATTGAGCTATCTATATACTCACTCATCTTGTGAAGGGGGTTCATATGAAGCTGGGTCTTCTGTGTACAGCTGAAAAAAAGTTTGATATATTCAAGATGACATCAGTAAAAAGAACAAAAATGATTGTAAGAAGTTCAGTATCTATGAATATCAAATGGGTTAAAAAGCCAAAATCCATCTGTTGATGTACAAACATAATAAAACAAATATTATATAATTTTTAAACCAAACCATAACAATATACAGGGAAAACCTCTACCAATATTTTAACATAAAAAAATTGTTCACTAATTAAGCCATTGAACTAAAATTTAATGATAATATCTGCCTTCATCTGTATCATTCCAAAGTGTAAACTAGCAATGCAACCAGTGACATGGAAGAAAAAATTAAGTTATAATATATAAAAATAGGCGCCACCCTCCAAAAATTGGTAGAAGGATGAATTTCATATAATTTCAAGAAGCTGCACAGTACATGCAGCAGTGAATTTACAGCAGTGAATTCTACTTGTTTTGAACTGATAGGGAGGTACATGTAACTGGCTGTTAGATGCAGAATAGGCAATGATAAATAGCCAGTGCCTCATAATGAAACACTGCTCTATTCTAACAAATTCGAAGTACTGTGCAAGGGTACTAATCCCGCCCGGAGATTAAGAATTACACCCAGGTATTCTGACAGAACATAGGCGAATCCAAAGTTGCCCAAATGTCATGGACATTCAATGGTCATGGTAGTTGTGCGCATGCGCGAAATTTGAACAAAGAAAGAACGGTCGACTACAACTTGCTGATTGGCTAAGACAAAAAGAGAGCAGTATTTTTAAAAAATATAAAAATGAAGTCATTGAGTCAAATATTAAAACAATAATAAAAGATTTAAAGATCATCACAGCACAGAAACAGTTGGTGAAATAGGAAGGACTCATAGTTTATAATCTTTAAAGTGGTAGGTGTCTATATTTTGTTTGCTGTTTGCTGTAAGAATGCATTGTTATTTTGACAAGTACGAGCTTGGTATGTCGTTTTACAAGGAGCTAACCAACCGTTTAAGGCTTTACATCATCGCTTAAACTTTAAAAAGAGTTCTCAAAAGTGTACTTTGACAGAGTTTTGATAAGACAAATATCACTTTGCAGCTTATAGAGGTAATAGCTAAAATCATTGAATAACATAAATAATCGAAAAACAACATCCGACGTTTAGTGCTTGTATGGTTATTATAATTATTTGTGCTGTTTTGAAGGTTTAGCTATAGAAAAGTTTAACACTCACATAAACTGCAATGTAATGCAGCAGGCAAACAGGTGATTTCTGTTCACTTTTACGACTGTCTTTGTTTCCAAAAAATTTGCAGGAGTTATTTCATAATATTAGCACAGAAAGTTAGGTCTGGGGAGCGCACAAAATATTTTGCTTCGTTTAAAATGGCGAGGGGTTGCTGCATGCATGTATTTCTAGTATTTCATCTTATATTGGATAGACTGTAGTTTTTACGATAGATTATTTCCTTTAACTCTTGCTTTGTCTAATGAATTGTGATTTTACACTTGTAATTCATTTGTAGAATTATTTAATTATTATTACCTTTCTACAAGCTGGACAAAGCCCATTCTCATCTGTCCTTATTCGATGCCAACAAAATCTACACACCTTAAAAAAAGAAAATCTTTGTTAATGTTTGTTGGTAATTAACCTCAAAGATATTTTTTCGGGATGACAAGTTGTGACAGAAGAATCAGAGGAAATTATATTGAAAATATACTAAACATATCATGTAAAATCATTACAATCTGATGGTTAGTATTAAAAGTGAAATATGTATGGATAACTGATGTGAATCAGTGTCAGGCAATAAGTTCAAATGCAATTATTTTCACATTTAATCACTTTGATTTGTCAACAACTGATCTGTGAAGAGTTAATGTATATATAAGTCAGATAATTCATCTCATCAAACTTGTCCAAAGAAAAGTGGGTTTGCCTAATTATCTATCTGTGTATAAATGCCAGCAGACAGATAGATTATTCAACAAGATGCGCTATCTTTAGATCATGCCAATCTCTGGTGTTTGTCAGGGCAAAATAGGCAACAAGTTAGAACAATAATTTTCTTGTATGATTGCATGGCGACTTTAGTAATTATAATAACTTGTAGGTACACCACGTAAGTATTAAATACTGCAAAGCTTTCGGTCCGTTAACCCGGACCTTCATCAGTGCAATTACTTGAATACAAGCTGGACAAAGCCCATTCTCATCTGTCCTTATTCGATGCCAACAAAATCTACACACCTTAAATTAATCTACACACCTTAAATTACACCTTAATCTACACACCTTAATCTACACACCTTAATCTACACACCTTAATCTACACACCTTAATCTACACACCTTAAATTTATAAACATCAAACTATCGTCCAAGAGGGAAAGCCACTTAATAGTACGTGGCGTGCTCTTTTCGGTGTCTCTTAGTCAAATACTTGTCTAGGGCGCGCGCATTGATTAGAACTTAATTAAATGAAACGGTTTAATTAATAGCGCGAGCAAACTAATCACGACTAACATGATATTTAAGTGACGCGCAAACGTGTATTCAAGTAATTGCACTGATGAAGGTCCGGGTTAACGGACCGAAAGCTTTGCAGTATTTAATACTTACGTGGTGTACCTACAAGTTATTATAATTAATTAAGTTAGAACAAGTTGTAAAATTTGAATGGTTAAGAAAGAAAATTGGTAGAATTATATAATAAAATATATATATTTCTTTAAATACTTACTATTACCAAACTAACTTATTATAAATAGCGTTATTCCGCAGCAGTATAAAATAGGTAGAATATTTGACATTGCGTCATAGTAATATACAAGTCCAAATACACGAAAAAGCCTTACTGAATATTACTGTAATTTACGAACTATGACTATTTAATCCCTAAAACCATATAAAACACTTTAAACACACAACAATAATTAAAATAGTTTGAATCGTTCGCAATAACACAACAAAGGCACAACTTCCTTTATCGAAGCAACAAATATTCGTATCAGAACACTATTAAACTATTAAATATACAAAACACAAATCACAATTTCAGACAAACCTGATAACCACAGGTACAAGGATAGAAGTTGACATCATCGATTTCCAAAGGTTCCATACAGAGAGGACACTATTTTAAAACGCCGCAAAAAACCCTAGGTTAGTTTGTGGGTTCAAATGAAACCCGCCAAAACGCAGGTTTATTTTAACACATATTATGACAATTCGACCAGCCAACCTCCAAATCGCAGCAGTCCATGATATAATTCGAAGATAATTTCGATTCACAGGGATTTTTCGCGGATCTATCGAACGAGGTGTATGGAAGAGATTATTGTTGCTACACACGTGAAGCTTCGAAGCACAAAATTGCCCCAAAAATAATCAAAATCACACCATATTTTCACCAACCTAGACCAATGATTTTTCTCGATGAGCCAAAAATGCATTTCGTATCAATCATTGCTTGGTAGCCACTCCTGCTCTGATCCCAGAATGGCGCATTGAACTGTAAACAAACTGGAGTGATAACCCAAGGGGGGGGGGAATCGAAGTAAGTGCTTTTTACTTTTTCTGAGTTTTGAGCCGAAATACTTAACGCCTAATGTTGATCCGTATATGAAATTAGAGCTAATAAAAAGTTATATTTCGTGTAGTAATTTCGAGAGTTTAACTTAAAGGGAAATATCTAAAAAATATTTGAAAATTTCCCGTTTTTTTGCAATTTTGTAATTGTTTTTGTTTTTTTAAAATATTTCCTTTGGAGACTTGGAGTTCAAGTTCTCAAATTTCCACACCAAATGTAACTTTTCAATAGCTTTAATTTGACACACAGCCCAACGTCTGGCGTCAAGTGTTTCGTCTCAAAACTCAGAGAAACTATTTTGGCTTCAGGCTGACATAGGGATGTTTGTATATATACATATGGAATAGTAACTTCGCTCATTTGGGATTTGGCTGATGTAGTGATGTTCAGATCACAGTAGCCCGATAAGCGGTTGGTTTAATCCAGTGGTTTAATTGTTTTATCGTTTTTTTCATTGATAAGCTTTATAGCATTTACTGCATGAAGTATGCCAGTAGTCACTCAACCGCTGACACAATAACGCAGGCGGAGTGCAATGATTATATAATATATATATTTTTCTTCGCCCGAGATTTGATATTTTCCCAGCATATCTTTAATTGTTTCGACTCATGCTTCTGCATGGACATCCGCCTGACTGTTAAACTCTTCTGTCAGAGTTACCCAAGCTTTATTTTTTTGCTGTATGCTTTTGTAATCGTTCCTTTTGCTCTCAAGGACATCCTTGTTATCCAGGCATTCTGTTATAAGCGACTTCTCTAATTCAGAAAAATACTGTCTTATTTGGGACATCTTGCCTGTATTGGTTATGCAGTATCCTGTTTGCACTTAAGTAAGCTACACTTCACTGATTTTGATAACAAAGGCGAGTGCGACTCATATAAGTTATACTTGAGTGACCTCAGTGAATACAAATTGAACAACATTTGTTGAGGATCAGTGTTACCGATTGGAGCGTCACCTCAATGAGCAGAACATATCGCTCACACTCCAATCATGCTCACACTTTATTAACTCTTCTTGAGTACACCTCACTGGAATGGCACTCAAGTGTTAGTGTGAGTAAGCTTTCAGAATACAGGCGTTAATGTTCTTTAGCCGCCTTTACACTACGTGCTTTGACCTGGCCTGGACCAGGCCTAGGCCTAGATGTTGTTTTTCCGGCCTAGACCAGGCCTGGACCTGGCCTAGGCCACAAAATCCAGGCCAACAGCAGAAGGTGGCCTGGACCAGGCTTGGACCTGACCTGGGGCAAGATTTTGGTAATGTGAACAGGCTGTACCTAGTCCTGACAAATTTTGAACTTAATAGTATGATTTGTATAGGATACATACAGTATTACCGCTGTTCGACGTGTTTTGGGTCTTTTTCCAAGTGTTTTGTCTCTTTGGCCACAAGCCAATCGGGAGGTAGAACTGGCGTCAAAATCGAACTCTGTTAAAATCGTTGAAAGTGGCTCATGTGGAAAATACGAAATTGCAAGATGAACTCAATAAGTTCCTGTTAGCATATCGAAATACCCCTCACAGCAGTACAGGGGTATCGCCGGCATTCTTAAAATTTGGCAGAAAACTCAAGACTAAACTTCCTGAGTTACGTCCTGACAAGAATATTTTGGGTGAAAATATCAGAGATCGTGACTGGAGAAAACAGGTGGCAGGAAAAAAGTATGCGGATAATCATCGACAGAACCCAGTTATACCCGGAGATAAAGTTCTTCTGAAGAATTCAAAAATATCAGGGAAACTGGATTCAAAATTTGAAAACAAACCATATATTAAAGAGACTACTACGGTCTACCAAGAATTTCTTCAAATCTCTCACTTCTCAACATTTCCTCAGAAGGTTGGCAAACGGCAAAAATTCCAATAGGGGAAATTTTTAATATTCATTTTCTAATCACTAAAATATATTTGATTGGCGCGTCTGGGGCCCTATCTACCATACTGTAACGATAATCTAATGACCTTACATGTCTCATAAAACGCAATGGTACAACAGTACATTCTTAATTGACATAAGTCCCGCTGAAACATGGCCATTGAGGGCGCAACCTGGGTTCGTCCAGTTTGAGGCTTTCGTGGTTACGCGACTATTATCTTTCAATCAGAGTAACCCACTACTCGATTACATTACCATCAGTTCCAAAAAAAATTAGCTGAGTTAAAGGAACGCAAGAAAGTTGGCATTTTTAAACTTTTACTGGGTAAAAATTCAATAGCAAATGCCATTTATGACAGCGCTATACTAATTACATAATTGATTATAATATAACAAAAACAAGAATCAAATAAGCGCTGATGACGCGTCTTTCAATTATCAGCAATGCATGATCACTTACACAAATTAGTTCTAATAAGCAGCAACAAAAAGTTGCTTCAACTTTACACTAAAGTCGGAACAGACGGACTGACCAACATGCTGACTCACAATCATTCATTGAGACACGCCTAAAAACTACAATATACTGTTGTATACAATAAACTACAAATCCTACAAATTCTAATCTAAATGAAATATAAAGCGAGCTGCACCATATGGGATATGAATTTTCATTCCATAAAAGTCAAGAGCATTTATGCTATGTTGCACATGCACCAAAAGTCAATATTCATTCGCTTTGATTTTGTCAGGATGATCGACCAATAATTTCTTCCTCTTTCGCGCGAAAACATGGTATTGTCATGAACTCCTATGATTTTGGTGATGAACGACAATTCTTTTCAACATAAGTGCAGGAGAAACATTCACAACGAAATCCATAATGAATGTCAGTCCATCCATTAATTATGCCGAAGTTTAAATTTAAAATTATATAGTTATTACTTATACGACTATTACGGATAATAAACAGTGTTTTATCTTTCCAAAAGTTCTGTAATGGAATTCGATTTTAGTGAGTTCATGTTTATGGCGCAACGGCTTTTTTATTTCAACTGCCTAATGAAGCATTCAACTGGAACCAGACACAGTACTAAAATGCGGTGCCCGCAATGCTTGCCTAGAAATAAAACGTCCGCTCATTTCTAACGACATCACCAACTTACATTCTCCTGTCGGCCGCAGCCTGGTTGGTTGGTACATTAAGGTCAAAATTGCGCCGTTTTAAAATCTTCAGAAATAAGATATTTAGGCTAAAAATACTATCTAAAGATACTATCAAAATGAAGAGAAACGTGAGACGAATAAACTGGTGTAGAGCCGGAAACTAGAAAAGCAACGATACAGAAGTCAAGGATTAAGCGTACTGCATTTTTAATTTGTTTAATAATTTTGAGCGATTTGTCATAAAGTTCGCTTATTGAAACAATACTTTAAAACCTTCGAAATAGAATATATTTGGCTCAAAGTACTATAAAATAAATTGTAATGTAAGACCGATCCACTTATTTAAGGACGAAAATTAAAAGAGAAAACCAACGATATGAAAGATATCGAAGACCAAACTTACTATTACTAGTAAAGTATAGCATTGTAATTTTGAGCGATTTGTCAACAATTCAATTTCGTTTGTCTTTCAAACGTCATAAATCGCTGCGAATACTCTTGTTTAGTAATATATTTAAGACCTGTATGTATAATTTCTTACGCTGAATCGAAGGGTGGTATTTTTGTCCTTCTTGGGTGCATAAAAGCAGAGATACACGCAATTATCAGAGTTTGAGATTGAAATTGAAAAAAGAACGTTCCTTTAAAAAAGAAATTTGGCAAACGTACAACAAGATTAATACTAATAATTAGGAAAAAATTCCAAGCATTCCAAGCATGTGCAAGGAATTTTTACTAGGCGATTAAGGAAACGTATTGACACAGATTAACACCCAGATGTCTCACTTCTGACTCAAAAGCGTAAGGGATTCGTCACTGCGCATCGCTTTCTGCGCACGCTTAGCAAGTGACTAGAGGAATTCACCCCCCCGAAATAAAATTTCAAAATGGAGACGAACTGAATTGAAGTGAAAAACTGCACGATGTGTCAAATGAGTCGGAATATATGTACATTTATTGATTTGTACAGGAAGTTCCATTCAATGTAAAGATATTCAAACACTTTTTAAAAGAAATATGTTTGAAATTATGGAGATTTCTACTGCTTATAATTTTCCGCTCCTATGGGAATCGAAAAAAGATAAAACACTCGAACAATATTGAAAACAAGGTACTCTAAACTCACTTTTCCAAAGCGCGTATAGATGATGATGGATTCAGACACAAACTTAACTACACAGTCGCCTTTTCTAGCAAATGAGAGGAGGTTTTTTTCCATGTATAAAATAGTTCGGCTCCATTTTGAAATTTCGGGGGGGTGAATGCCTCTACTCACTTGCTGAGCAAGCGCTTACGCTTTTTTAATCAGAAGTGAGACATCTGGGTAATCTGTGGTATTGATGCGAACAAACAAACTCACAGGCAGAATATAATGCGGTGCCAAACTTGGCGCGGGCACCGCAATTGTCAGTTACATCAAGCTCAGCTTCCCTAATCACGTACGATATGATAACATCTTATGTTAAAATTCCAATATTTAGTGCGAAGCAATAAAAAATCACAGGGACCGCGAAGAAAGTATTGGATTGGGGGTCTATAGCCGAGATTTTTAGAAGAAATATTATTTTTAGAATATTTTCAAAAGCGCAATGAAATAGGAAAGTTATTTGAGAAGCAGCTCCACGCATCCCCTTTCCATCCTGCTCTACGGTCCGTGTATTAAATATATGGTCTGGAAACTGGACTAAAGCAATTTCATCCTTTTTTCACGTTTGGCATAATAAAGCAGTCTTTCAATAATATTACCTTGTCAAAATTAATAATAATAGTAATAATAATATTAATATTAATATTAATAATATTA